TGATGTTTTCAAGGTTATCCTGCTGGTTGATATTTCAATTAAATTTTGCATAAATTTCTTTAACATCAATCTTGTATTTTGCTTGTTCAATATTGGCCAAGAAGCCAAAATAGTACCGTTTAAAAACAGAGCATCCCAGAGCTGATGCAATCTGTCACATACTTCTTTCATTTGTAAGAATCTATTTGAAATAGGCCTGAAGATGGTCCAAACCTTTGAATACAGCAATGTCTGTATTTCATGGAAAATAGCTCTTGATTTTGGGGATTCCTCTGTATCATAAAAAATGTTGGAAGAAAATGTTTGGAAGTCCGAAAATTCCTCGATAGGCTCAAAAAAGGCTTTTGCAGAATTATTTATCATATGAACAGTGTCACTACTGACACTAAGGAGATTTGTCCTAATAACGGTTCAGTCATCTTCCCATTCCCTTTATACTGTCGTTTTCTTCGTGCCTTATCCTGACTGTTTAGTCAACTAGTCTTGTATCTCTGCATGGGAGGAGAGTGTCTTTAATCTTCCCTGTGGTTGTACTGTCTACCCATCTGTCTTCCCCTGTTTTCCCTTGTCCCGGTATGTGTCCACCCCCATATTTTCCTGTTGCCGAAAGCAATTATTTTTCCAGTGTCCCTCCTGTCCAGAAAGAAAACAGACTCCCCTTACTCCTGTTACCCTCCCTTCTGCCGATTTCCTTCTCTTCGCTCCCCGTGAACCCTGCCAGTGTTCGGCACACCCTGCCGCAAAAGTTGGTTCCCTTAGATATTTTGTAATTTCACACTGATTTAATGTTATCTATCTGAACCAAAACTTTAACCGTTTCACCATTCATGTGTAACAATAATTTATTACAGCACGAAAGGTCCTATAGCCATTCAAAAGTTTTGTCTTTCTTCGAGCTATCCACCCTATTGTCTTAGCTCCTTAATAAGTTAGAATGAAACTCCCTGAAGTTGTCATTCAGAGGTGTCAACTCGTTTCATGTTCCACTGTACATTTCTGCATTGTATCTTCCATGTTTCAGCTGTATCAGTTTTACTGTCTCATAATAGTCTAACCTTTTCCTTACGTCCTCAGTCACCTGTAGTTCTGTGATCCATTCCTCTTTTGGAACCCAGTTTTATCTGGCTATGTGTTCAAAGTTCACAATATTCCTTATCGATGTTGTATTTAGGCAGGTGATTCAGTAAGTGATAGTTATTTTTGGGTCTTGTCTCGTTACTATTGCCTTGTGTAACTTCATTGTTTATTTTAGCTAGTTCAGTTTGTTGATCTGGTTCTTTTTTCTGGTTCTTTTTTTCAATTTCTTAAGTTCATGTTCCCTTTCTTCTATTCTTATCTTTAAATTAAATTATCACTATACATTAAAAAAAATCTAAGGTACTCAATTGGGGTAACATCTAAAGAACAAACTTGTAAACAATAGCATTGTTACGCCCTGACTTGTGTTGGGAGAAATTAATCTCCTATTTTAATTTTAATTGGCTCGTTGTAATCAGTGCCTAACAAAGGACGATACCACAGAATCAACAATATTAAAGATACGACCCAAAACAGTTTCTAGTTACAATTAATAATTGGCTCGTTGTAATCAGTGCCTAACAAAGGACGATACCACAGAATCAACAATATTAAAGATACGACCCAAAACAGTTTCTAGTTACAATTAATAAGATTTATTATGTCTAAAGATAATTACAAAATAAAATAAAATAAAATAAAATTACAATCTTCAACTTACAGTATGGTGGATCTCGTACCGGTACACAGTTAATACAATTAGAAATAATGATGCCAATAAATAATGCGAAATAAACACATATAAGTAGGAGCACACAAATACACAAAGAATAAAACACGCCTCGTAATGTTAAGAGAATCTATAGGAAAATCTCCGTCTCTCTCTCGTCGTGCCTGTCAATCCCTTATATAGGTGGGTCTACCGACGCCTAAGCCCTGCCTTCTACAAGCTACATGACATTTCGAGAAAAATCCTAATCATTATACCAAATACTATTTGGAACAGATTAATTATTTTTATTCGTTGGCGGCGTAAACAAGAATACATCAAAGACCTAAGCCACACCCCTTTGTGAACACAGTGTCTCATGCGGGGTCAATCAGAGGGCACGCACGAGAAATATGATGTAAACAAGCTCTCTATAACAAGCATAATACAACTATATATATATAATTCAAACTAAATTCCCTGTCTTGATCATATCACGTATGCATTGAACGGACAGCGGTACTCTGTCAAATCGGGTACAGCACAGCAGGATTCAGTCACATTAGGAAACAGTCCCAGAAGAATACGGTTGTGGAACCGCATGACTTGTTTCATTGTCTTATTCTTCTTGTTAAAATCAACTGAGCCTTGTTCCATTCTATATAGACTAGAAGTTCCCTGCATTCTATGTCAAACCTATTATATTTAGTATTGCTATATAATCTAACACAAAGAAAGCTAACACATCTGCACAGCTTCGTGTCTAGATTTTTAATGGCAAATTACAAACAAAACAACATGGTTTCTAATATCGCAGTACAAGTTCATGCAATGATAACACTAGTTGTGTTTCTTTTATTAATGTTTGGCTCTCATATTTTTATAAGTAGATGGTTTGAGTCTAAGTAAGCCCCTCTTAAACTTTGTATACTGATACCTAGTTTTAATATGTCAGAGGTATGCCTACTATCATAAGTACAAGATCTATTTATTTTCTGGTTATAATTTAATATAAGTCATTGCTAATAAGTTTACAGTAAAATATACCTGTAATTTCCTGGAACCTTGTGACTCTAAGGGTAACCTGCAATCAGGTTAGGTAAAAGGAAATGAGTGAAAAAATTATGGGAAAACCTGAAGAAAGGGCCAACAAAACAACTCAATAAAATTATAATTGAATCTGTAACTCAAAATTCATGGCTGAGTTTTCTTTAATCGTAACCTGATATCACTCTCAACATCTAATGTTAATGTATTCAAAGGAAGAAGCTTAAGAAATCCTTCCACGCAAACTGATTTTTTAAAAATATTGTATTATTATTGAAACTTTAAGACATCTGTATATGATTTTATGTCCCCCAGTGGTTAAAAAATATAAATGATCACTAATTAAGTATTTATTGTCACCGAGGGAATAAAGTTATAATATGGTATATGATGGTTGATTTTTAAGCTGTAGATATCTTGTTTTCAAATTTGTAATAGTTGTCTTAAAATGTTGTCTTGTTGAGAATACACATTACCATTGTTCTGAAATTGATATAATACAATTTAAGAAGAAAAAAAAATTTCCATTAATTTGGATCAATTAAGAAACTTATCTCATACATATAAATTATATAATAAATGTCTTCTTTGATATATATATTGATAGATTTCTTTTCATTTGTAGCATGAAGATGTGTAACCTTTGAAAGATGCATAGAATACTTTTTTATGACTTTGTACTTTGAAATAAAATTGTAATGATTTTGAAAATTTTATGTCTCTTTTAATACTTTTCTGTGTTTGTTTATTCAATTTAATAATTATTGCTTTACATTTGTGTAAGGGATTGTCCTTATTTAGAATCAAAGATTATGGGAAAGAAACATGAACACCAGTATATTATATAATGAAGATTAAAATTCCTCAATTCTAAATAAGTAAAATAAGAGATAGAGGTACAGAGACTTAAAAAAATCTGTTACGTTACAAATTCGGTAAAAACATGTTAAAAAATAATTTCAGGATTTTAGTTTAAAACCCATAGATTTACATAAAACCTCTAGAATGGCATTTTCTGACATCCAGTATTCCAGTCGTGGTAAAATTAATTACCAGAGTGAGGCATCCAAATGGATGCGTATCTGGAAATTTGATAGAAAGAAATTTCGACGACTGTAAATTGATTAAGGGTAACGAAAATTTGGTTGAATAATTTTTTTAAAAGTTTTATATTAAAACTTTGCTTCAAATTTATTTTTGAGCGCATTATGTTGTTTTACTATACAGTATAGTGCGTTCAAAAAGAACTGTGAGGAGAATTTTAACATGCGAACTGAAAAAAAGATTCGACCAAATTTCCGTTCTATCAAATTACTGTCGATCAATTTACCGTCTACGAAATTTCTTTCGACCAAATTTCCTGTAACCAAATGGATGTAATGGTTATACAGACATTTTGTACTTTAAGGTGAAAGGAACTCTGGGCGAAATATATTGGTTAGCAAACGTTTTGCCCAGACTCCACTCTCGGATTATTGGGGGAGACGGTGAACAAGTTGTAAAATGAGGATATAATTATAATAATCACACAGATGTGAAACCTTGATAACCACTCAACAGAACTACAAACATTTTGACTTTCGACAGAGAGCCTTGTTAATCTTTTAAATGATTAACACAAAATTAAAGATTGTAAAAATAAATTTAATACCGGTACAAGAAATTTGAAATAAGAATTTTCTTCGACAACTAGAAACAAATGGTTTCTTTTCATTCAAATAGACCAAATATGCTTACCTAAAGTGTGTGCAAAGAAGATTTCTTTCTCTCCCTCCCCTCCCTTAAAAAAATAGTAAAATGCTGCTCAACATAACCATCTAAAAATGAAAATAGTGGATTGAAGGGTCAGGATGCTAGTCACATTAAACATTTTAATATTTATGTATTCTAATTATCAAATAGTAAAGTAATTAGTTATTGAAAATAGTGTTAAATTGTTATTTTTATTTTTGTAAAAATACTTCTGATCCTTTGGCGTATAAAACCGGTATTGTAAAATTAATTATTTGTTGAAAAGAAAATACGAAGGATGTGGTTCATGTAGAGGGAGTATTCAATATGATTAAGTATATGTTTGGTGACGAAATAAAGATTATGTATCATTTGACTTGAAATGACATATTTGAATAATTGAGATTTTATAAATATTAATTTTGAATCAAATTAAATAATAGATTAACGTTTTTATGTAATAAATAGAAATCAATTAATTTACATTGAATTCCCCCTTCTAAGGGTAAACAAGATGGCAGCGCACAGGAAAATAAAACATACAATATACAATGACAGCACCATTACATTCGCTTTATTTGTTAATCTTGAATCTTGTAAAAATATAAGAAAATGCGTGATGAATGGAACTGTGGAAGCATCTCTTTTAAAATCATCAATGGTTAGTTTTGAATCTCTTAACTGCTTTTATGTTCACTCTTGGTATATCATATCAGTTTTTGACAATTCACTGAAATTGAGTCACTTGACTGTTGAGTTGAGTTGAGTCAGTTAGTTAAACTTGGTCATTGGTAGGCTACAATTTGAACAGTAACAGACTTAAACTTGTGTGTTGTTGATGGTATTGTTGTTTTGCCTTTTATTTTCAACTTTGAGCATAATAATAAATTATGGCTGCGACTATTCTTCGCACCGGCACCTGGGTATCAGAAGTGAGAGGTTGGAATTAAACACAAACTATTTAAAATATTATTGTTGGGTTTGTAAGACTAGAAGCTATGCCTACTCGGGTCCCTTTAGACTAAATCCCATGTCATTTGTGGTAGTTTATTTTAGTTTAAATGAAGAAGTAAGTAAACATTTTCACTTACAAACCTAACAATTATATTTTAAATAGTTTTTTAATCCCAACCTCTCACTTCTGATACCCGGGTGCGAATAGCCTCTTCAATAAATCATACATCTGCCAAATACTTAAAGCTAACATCTTGATTCATCTATTGATAATCATTTGATTTTTTTTTCGAGGTTAAAAGTTAAAGTTAAAGCTTTGAAAATTGAAGTTAAATTAAATAAGTACACTTGACTTTACTGATCAATAACTTTTTTGTTAAAAACGGTCTAATAAAAAAAAAATATAGCCTTCTTAAATTTATAATTTCATTTATAACATTACATATCCAAAATTCAAGACTATAGACAGGTGTCAAAAACAAAAATCAAAGAGTAGAGGTTACTTTTTTAGGCAACGGGGGGGGGGGCATGTAATTTGTCATCATGGCAACCATGCTTGTCTTGGTATTAGCAATTATCGATATCAGCTTTGGGGTAGTTAATAAATCATTAAATTTAAATTGGTTAAACAGAATATAATGAGAAAAAAATACTGGTAACTAATAATAAAAATAGATAAATAAAAAATAAATAATTATTATTGGCTTATGAAATATCAGGGGTTTTCATTTTAGGGTTGGTAGCCATGGACATGAGATTGATAACTACTTGTCTTTGACTTAGATAAGCCAAAATAAAAATATTATAATAGTAATAATACTATTATTAGTACTATAAATGATTTGGGGAGAGTGATAGATGGCCTTTAAATTACAACTAATATATTTAGATTACCATTTTATTTAAATATATGTGTACATAAAGAATATTATTAATATTATTTTGGGGAAATTGAATAAATTTATTTATACAAATTTAATTGATTAAATACAAATAAGTATCAAGTTAGCATATTTTATACATTTTGGTAAAATTATAGGCATTGAAGAATTTTTTGGGGAATATTAACAGTAACTAAATTTAAAATTTGTGGTTTTATTTGTAAAACTCATATTGAACTATATTCCCTGAAAAAATATTTTTATCTCATTTAATAATAAAGTTAAGGCGTCAAAAGCAAAAGCAAAATTTGGGTCACAAATTGTGGAGGAAAACTTCATGGTAAAAAATTTGTCTTTTTACTTTAAAAATTCATAACTTTTGAACCACTTGTGATAAAAAGTTGTTCTTGATGTTACTGTAATCTGTTCTCTAGGCTCTATAAAGCTGAAGTATTTTTTTATATTTTTTAAAATGTTTAGAAATTTTTAACAAAGTGTCTACTTAGAGTCAAGTGACTCAACTATTTGACTTGTATTCTTAATTCTATTTATTTGTTAATATTTAAATAGCAAAATTAATGAATAACCAGACCAAATGCCTAATGCCTAAAAATAAAATTTTAAATTGCCAAAAATAATTTTTAAATATTACAGTTGCCTAGAGCAAATTTCAAATAAAAAAATTAAACAATAATCAAATTTCTAGCTTTAGACTTTAGGGACTTAAGTACTTTTTGAGCTATGAATTTTCAAAGTTTGCTGCATTACTTGACTTCAAAATTGTGTGAACCAATGCTGCTAATCGCATCACAAGCTATAACTCTTGTTACAATGATAATTTTAGAAAACTTTATTTTCAGGATTAACTCTTTCCATGCCACGGGGGTTTGCTCATTTGTGCCAAACCAGTTTTCAGCCAATGGAAATTTATTAAGTTGCCCTTATCTATTAATGAATTTTGACTATTTTCTTTAGCAAGATGGCTTTACTTCATATCAATACTACTGAAATTATTTTGACGATATATCATTGATTGGCACAAACGCGGCAAGTATTTATTTATTTATGTAGTTGATCGGCATGGAAAGAGTTAAAACACTATTAAAAGTAACAATATTATGCAATTATAAATGATTGTAACCTATCAAGCTATATAACAATAATGCATTATAAGTAAATTTAAAATATATGACATGGTTGTTTTCTTTACCAAGTCCAAAGGTAATAATCGAGACAAAGTATGGGGAAAACCTGAAAAAGGAAGCAACAAAATAACGAATGTGTGAGCAAGAAGCCTTCTTTAGCGAACAAATCAGTTAAAACATTTTAAAATAAAAATAAATTCTCCGCTGCAATATAGTATCCGAGATATTCTGCCTATAATTTTAAACTTTGTTTCATAGTGTATGTGCATTATAGTTTTGGCTTGTGAGCATGCCACAAGTCTGCGGTACAACATGAGGTGTCTACCTCGGATTTTGAGACTGCACTTGGTGCACTATGCTGAGGAGAGATCCTTGATCCAATCGATGCAAAGGCATGTGCAACAAATATGATGTAGAATGAATAATAGCAGAGGAGAGATCCTTGATCCAATGAATGCAAAGGCATGTGCAGCAAACATGATGTAGAATGAATAAATAGCACAGGAAATACAAGAAACACTGCTCACTGTCAAATGGATCCTTGGACATATTTTTAACATGAGTATAAATAAATTCAAATGAACCATATTGAATCACAAAACTCAATGATTTTCACCCTTTCAAATCGAGGGAGGAACATCTGCGTTTATAAATATATTTTGGGGTTAATACCTTAACCCATAAGCACAGGTTTAAAAATATAAATTAGTTGTGATATTTTTAGTTTATATATAATTGTGAAGCCCTGCAAAAATATGAAACCATTTATATTTTTAATGTCACAACCTAATCACTTTATTTCATACCTATTTCAAATTTATGAGTGTGCAGCTGGTGCCCCTAACTCTTAATTAAAGGTTATTTCTTAAAGAATTAAGTTGAACTATAATCATGAAAAATTGAAATATTAGTTTAATTTTCTCTTGCAATATTCTCTGCAAAATAAAGTCTTATTTTTTTTTTTTTTTACAGATCATTGATCCCTTTCAAGTGCTTGTAGCAGCAAATAAAGCTGTTCATTTGTATAAATCAAATTCCATGATGACAAAAAATGTACACTCTGAGATTCTATTCTGCTTATCGCCAAGTAAAAATGTGAGATACTTTTTTTTTTTTTTAAATTTCTTGTATCTTTTAATAGTGTTTTTCCTTTGTTTTTTATTTTCCTTTTGTTTTTTGTTTTAATTTTATTATTGATTTCAGATTCTAGAATCATTTATAGCTTTTATCATTTGTATAAATCAAATTCCATGATGACAAAAAATGTATATTCTTATATTTTATTCTGCTTATCGCCAAGTAAAAATGTGAGATATTTTTTTTTTTTTTTAAATTTCTTGTATCTGTAAATAGTGTATTTCCTTTGTTTTATAATTTCCTTTTGTTTTTTGTTTTAATTTTAATATTGATTTCAGATTTCAGAATCATTTAGAGCTTTTGGGGCAGCCGATAGTGATACTAGTGTTTTTGTGGCAATAGTAAATGATACAGAGGATAAGACTCTAGCAAAGGTATCTGAAATCCTTGGGCACCAGCCAGTTCCTTTGGAAGGAGTAAGCAGTCTGGGAGATATTAAATTAATTACTAAGGTAAGAATCTCTAATATATATTTTGGTTGTGGTGTGGCTGCTTCCATTTTCCAACCACCCCTCCCCCTTGTCAACATGTTTTAATAGTACTGAGTGGAAAAAACAAACAAACTATCAAGCAGGGAGCGTCATGCGTGACGGTTGACCTCAAGTGAAAAGATTGAAATTTTTGTAGGTGACTACCATATATAAATCAATAAAGAGCCATGGGTATGGTGTAGGACTGTCTGCAGGATTATTGTTCAAAGGCCGGCAGGGAGGGTGTAGGAATGTCTATAGGACTATTGTTTAAAGGCCTGCATGTATTTAAAACCGATTTAAAGACACATCTATTTCGCAAACACCTTCTGGGATGATTGTCAACCTCATTTTCCAGTTAATGCATAATGGCTGTGTTGCGTATGGTTGAAATGGCTAGAAAGACTTTGCCATTGTATGCTTGTAATTAGTTTTTGTAGTGTTGCGTTTGTTTTAAATGTGGTAAATTATAGATTTGTTTTTTGTTGACTTTGTACCGCGCTTCGAGCCTTTGGGGATGAAGCGTGTTTTTGAAATGAACTTTATTATTATTATTTATTATTATAGAAAATGAGAAGTTAGCTCTTTTTTTTGTAACACTTGGACCTACCAGGTATTCTCTCAAAATGCCAGGACCCGATGTAATAAAACTGCTCCTGGTTAAGCCCTTGAAGCACATTATTTTCATAAAAAGATTCGTATTAACTCACTACAAACCAATGTTGCCATCATTCGGTGCTAGATATCCACTCATGTTTTATTAAATATTAGCTCTTGATAATAGCTGATTGTGTTCTATTTTTGGTTGCCAGAGTCCTTAAGTGGCAGGATACAATTCATTATTCACATTGTAGACTCTTAAAAATGTAACTACGCATCTATTTTATGGCAGTATTTTTCAAGCAGGCAAAATTTGTAGGCTTTACAGGATTAACAAAAGGTCATAATTGATAAATAAAAAGTGAATAGTGATATTTAAATGTATGCATATATATTTTTTGCTTTGTAATATTTCTCAAAGCTGTCCCAATACATAAAGTCACCTATTCTTGTATTTATCCTGTTATTTTTGCAGGCATATAAACTAACTGATGAAGAGTTGTCCCATTTTCCAATGTTAGATGCTCTTGTTTCAAGGATAGCTGCCAAAGAAATTATAACAGCAGGAAAAGGCAGAATTTGATTAGACTTAATACATTTATATACTAGCACATTGAATAAAAACTTTTTTTTTTCAAAGTTATTTCTAGTGTGACAATCATTATTTATAATTACATTTCCGATTCCTTCATTAATTCATCAATAGGGAGAAAAAATTTAAACACCTTTATCTTTTCTTCTCAGTTGTCTATTGAAGGAAGATAAGCTTGTGAAATTTAAATAAATTTAAATATGCTTTGAACCTTGACAGAAAACAAGCAACTATAACCACTATAATTTAAGTTTAATGGATGTCTTTGAAAATTGCAGCTAAGGTGCTATTTTTGTTGTATTTTTGCAAATTTTGTGTAAATATGAAAATGAAATAATTTTCATTTTTTTTTTTTACATCATCATCAGTGGCGCTACAGCCTATGTAGGGCTCTGGCCTGCTCCAAAACATATTTCCACTGAGAACCATCGTCATCAGTGGCGCTACAGCCCATGTAGAGCCCTGGCCTGCTCCACCTCATCCTTCCATTCAGATCAATCCATTGCTTTCCGCCTCTATGCGCAGACCCCCACCCCCCCCCCCCCCCCCCCCCCCCAGGTGATGTAAGCCCTTCTGTACATCATCAGTTCATCTCTTTTATGGTCGACCATTGAGCCATCTACACCTCTTCTTCTTCCTTCTTCTATATATTAAGGGCCACGATCAATGAATTGATAATTCTGGCTCCTATGTTTCAGAGGGGTTCGCGATGTTACAGTGAATTGTTTTGAAGAGGATACTTCACTGGTTGCAAGGGCTACTCAGCAGTGGTATTATGAACTAGGGGTTGGAAGACAGGAGGCAATAGACGCAAATGTGTCAAGTGTAGTCGCCTCAACTGTTGCTTTTGGAAGCCTGTTCAGTCCCTTATTATCTTTGGTAGGAATAAGGCGCTCCTGTACTGGGGAGTTCTTGTTTTTTTTAGCTGGAACTGCCCGTCATGGCCTCGTCACTGTCTAGGGGGGATAAGGATGAGTTTCTGTTTAATGCTGAAACCGTGGACCAGCCCATTTTTGATTTTGTACAACATGGAGAGCCTGGATAGTCGTTGTTCTTCCAATGGTGACCAGCCCAGTGTTTCCAGCATGCTGGTAACACCTGAGGTGTTTCTGTAGCGGATCACGACAAAGCGTGCTGCCCGTCGCTGGACCACCTCCAACCTGTCTATCCTCTTCTGGGTAAATGGGTCCCAGACTGAAGATGCATACTCTAAAAGTGGCTGCACAAAGGCCTTATAGGCTTTTCTCACGCTTCGGTTTCTGATCTTCAGATTTCACCTTAGAAAAACCCCAGGGTCTTGTTTGCTCGGTTGCACACATTGTTAATGTGCTCGTCCCAGTGGACCTCTCTTTGAATGGTAACTGGCTCAAGAATATGGCCATGCAATTTGTAAGGGTGGTGTAGAGGGGATCTGCTTCTGGACCTAGGTTTCTGTCTGATATATCTTTTGTTTTTTTGTAGTCACTTAAAATAAATTAGCTAATTCTCTTTTGATACATACGTGAAATAATTGAATTCACCACATAATTCACCTCAAAATTTTGTAAATAAAGAAAGTGACCAAGTTAAAACTTATTTTGTTTTCTATTATTTGATCTAAGTAACAATGTAAAACAATTTTAGATCTTAAAAAAATCAAATGACATCACAATTAAAACAAAGGTTTGAGCCACTAAATGAAGACAAATAAATAAATTTAATTGTTCAAAGGAAGGGGTCATTTATATTTTCATATTTATAGTGTCATATATTTTAATTTTTTGTGCAACAACAAGAAAATATTTGGAAACAATTATAATAATAATTTAATGATAATGCAATAAGCAAACAATATGAGGAAATTTTGTGCATAATACATGGATTTATATGATTCATTAAAATGAGAGAGAAAATTTAATTTTGATTACAATGGATGGAATTTTTTGCATTATATATAGTTTTTTACAATTTTAATTTGATGCTGTAATTTGTACATTTTATATTATAATTGTTAAAGAATGTAATATAAGAAAAGTGGGAAACGGAACTTAAAAATTTATTAAAATTGTATTTCCTCGGGGAGTCAAACCTGTTCTGAAAAAGTGTTGCAGGATTTTATCAGAATTGAAACCAGGTGTGACAGGCTAATAGAATTATTTTCCCTTGAGGTCATTATAAACTTAGTAATTATATAACTATTTAGTATAAATAAGTTTATAATAGTGCTAAAACGTTGTTTTTTTAAAAATAATTATGTGAAGAATTTTAATTGTAGACTGTTAAATTTATTACATAGCTATAAAGTATAAATAAGTATATAAAATAGGGCAAAAACGTTTTTAAATAAAAAATAATTATGGAAAGAATTTTAACTGTAGACTATCTATTAAATTTATTACATAGCTATAAAGTATAAATAAGTTTATAATAGTGCAAAAACTTTTTTTTTTTTAAATAATTATGCGAAGAATTTTTATTGTTGACAATCTGTTAAATTTTCCTTTAATTTTAATGATATTTTATGATTCAATTAGATGCTTTAGATGATATTTGTTTTGAATTTTGTATAAGAATGAAAGTCAGTGAATCATAGCAATGCATTCTCATGGGAATTTTTTTTGTGTTGATCATTTGAAAAGCCATTTTTAACTGATTTTAATTTAAGACTAGTGTGTGAAAATAAATGCTCAAAACGTGTCATAGTATATAAAAAAATAAAAAATAACATTCCATTTTTCGTAGTAGCACTGTAAATCGCGCTCACAAAAATAAAAGCTAATATATTTGGTTTCAAGATATCAGTGAGAGGATAACAGTGCTGCTAAAGGTTTGCTATTTTAAAAAAATAAATAAATAAATAAAAATTCTGAAAAAATATTTTTTGATTAGGTGAGAGGGTGATAGCAGTGATACAGCTAGTTGGAGAATTTTCAGAAACTCAATAGTAGAGAAACATCACTAGAAATTTAGGGTACCAATTACTACAGGTATAAATATATGCTACAGCAAAGTACTTTGATCATTACGATTTGTATGACCAAGAGGTGATTGAAAGACTCAAAAGCATCCCAAATCTAAAAGTCACCCAGTAGAGTTTCATAACTAAATTTAAAAAAAAAAAGAGCAGCCTCTACATCATTTGCAAAAATCACAATCATGATTTTAACTACGGTACATGATTGTTTTTTTCAAAATGCTGACCTAAACATACCCCATTTCATGTGAAACTGTCAATTAAAAATTTTTACACTTATGGTTATAATATAAGGCATTCTTCTTATTCTTTTATATTTTATACAATAACAACCATTATTGTTTTTTAAATCCAAAATGAGGTTCTTTTATTAAGATTTTCCTTAACATTTGCAAAAAAAAAACTATAATCTTGAACACCAGGGAAATACAAGCATAGAAAAGAAAGCAATAGTTAGGACTGGTGGAAGGAAGTGGTGAGGCAGGTCAAAGCCCTACATGGGCTGTAGCACCACAGAGATGGATGGAGTAGTGAAATACACGTAAAAAAACTAAAACTGAATTTTTGGCTTGTACATTTGTTGTCTTCTTGGTTTATACAACAACTCGTCGTCTAAAATCTTACGACCTGCCTGTGGCCGCTGCTGGAAAATCTGTGGGTCATTGAGAAGCTGGGAATCCACACTAGTGGGCCGATGACCTTCAGCTTTTTCAATCAAGTGGAAAGTATTCAGTGCATTTTCACTCATATTGTGTACATCGCAGCTGGTTGTTATTTTGATGTTAGCCAACATATTTTGGATCTCTTCCATGATAACTACCGTCTGCAATGAGAAGTAAGTTAATCATGCACCAGTAATCATTTATTTATCTAATTTGGGGGGCCATCATAAAATCATTACAAGAATGTAACACAAATTCAATAACTTTATCACTCAATGTCACAAATTCATTATGCCCCCCCTGCAAGTAATATAATTTTTTTATGGATGGTGGGGGTCCTTGTAAGCAATTGGTGATTAAATTTAGATATGTTATTTATATAAATTCATTAACAGTTATTTGATTTTTGAAACTCAAAATGTTCGTACCGGTACCTGTTTAATAAATATTTAATTGTTTTCTGATCTTTTCTCTGAAAGCTGTCACCAGTTAATAACAAAATACTTAATAACTTGATACCTTTTAATGATTGAAATTTAATTTTTTTTTTAAATCATGATCTGGTACAGTAACAATAGACTTCAATATACAGTTCTTAATTTAGAGCCAATATTTTAATATTTTTTTTTTTCTCTAAATATTATCGAGTGATGTAAAGAGGTTTTTTTCATTTCATATATTTATCCTGTTACAAATATTAAAAAAGATTTTAATAATCCTGAAATTATACAGTAATCTAACACTGAAAAAATTAAGCTGTTTCTATTGGATTCCACTAACAAAAGGGAGTTGTATTTTACATAAAAAAAGGAGTTTTATATAACCAGACCTGTTTACTCTCAAACTCATAAAATCGTACAATACCTTATATTTATAGAAAAAAATAAACATACAGTATACATGCTAACACCTCAAAATCGTACATTGTACGCCAAAATCGTAAGAGTAAACAGGTCAGTATAACTATAACTCTTTAAAATTAAGCAAATTTGAAGTTCCTATAACAGCAACTTACATTCTCCTGTATCAAAGGATATATATTGTTAGTCCTCCTGTCTGTCTCCACAACACTTTTTATCTTGTTATGTATGTATTCTGCCATGCTAAGTGGGGCCATGGACACCCTCCACTCTGAAACAACTCGAGCTTTTTCTATAAGGCCTTGCGTCATTGCACTCACTACACCCATGTTTACTGGGCTCTGGAATATAAAAGTAAAATTGTAAATATATAATGTAAGGTACATCAAGCCATTAAATTTGGTCATTTACTGGTTTTAAATTTCAAGTTATTTTTATTTTGAAAAATTAGACCAAAAAAACATAATTATTCCTATAAACTGCTTCTGCAATGTGTAGCAAATGCGAGAAAATTTGAATTTTAATATAGGATGTCTACCATCTAGTTTAGGGGCCATCCATAAATGACGTCAGGGAAATTTTGCCAATTTTTGCCCCCCCAATTGTCACAAATCTTTGCACACACACCCCCCCCTCCCTTTTTATAAAAATTCCCAGTGTCCACTACTGTCCTTGACAGAAATTCACCTCCCATGGATAATATCAAATTACTGCATCTGTTTCAGAAACATTTCACTAGAACAGTGGTTCTTAACCAGGAGTAAAGGTACCTTCTCACGGGGATGTCATTTTGGGTAAGGCAGAGAGGGGCATTTGCGCCCCCCCAAGCAGGTTTTATTTAAATTGCTACGTACTGTGGCACCTCCAGTAATTAACAACTTAACAAGATGACCAAGTTTTGGTTTTGCCCCCTCCCCCAGAAAAAAATCTGAAATGACGCCTTTGACGCCCTTTTGAAATTTCTTTCTCCACCTCTCTCAAGGTCTTTATTTGCTATATTTATGTCAATGTCCTCATCATTAGAGTTTGTGCTTCTAGAAAACAGAAATATATCTAAAAGAAAGGAGACTTTTTTCTTTATTCTGACCATGGCAACTTTTGTGTCTAGACCTGAGCCATCTATTTGTGAAGACTCCATGGAGAAAAATTTAGAATACTCCATCTCAAATTCCACCAACTCTGCCAAAGACTGTGCCAATGTGGCAGCATATTCTGCCTGGCCAGCGATGCTGTGGAACATGCGCCAGGCTTCAACAATGTGTTCTGTATCCTGGTTTATAAAGAAATTAAAAACAAAATTATATTTATATTTTAAGTTTTGGGTAATATTTAGGTTTTTAAAGAAAATGAAGGAGTAATTCTTTTTAATTCAACTTTTAAGTAAGCATAATATTTTCATGTATCTTATGAATTATTATAAATAAAGTAGAAATTTTACCTTTACTGCCTCTCATATTATTTTAATTTACTGCACATGTTTACTTGCTCTAATTAGGTCACCTTGTTATAAAGTGAATTAAATAAATAAATGATGATCATCAAAAGATTTCTGGTCAGCAAAACTTACATCTGAAATAAGGGACCTATACAGCAGGAGCCTATGAATCTCCATGTAGTCTGATTTCTCCCTCAGTTTTAAAAGTTTTTGGTCCATGTATGACAAAACAGCTCTAACATTGGATGAACTCAGAGGATTCCCTCCTCTTGAAGGGCCCCCATTTTGATAATGGAATGCTGCCTATGCCATAGTAAATTTAAAAAAAAAACAATATAAACAATGAAAAATAACAAACATGTCAAATTGTAAACTAATTTTTTTTTCTTGCAAACAAAATAATTACGAATACTTTTCCTTTAATTAAGCTGCATAAATGGACTATTATAATAACTAGAAGATTTGTTTTACAAGTAGATACTTACTCTCTCTAATGATGAGAATATTGTAGAGTAAAAATGTGTTTCGTCTTCTTGGTAGAATATTTCAGTGCTGGAAAAAAATTGAGTAAATAGTAACAATAATAAACAACTTTGAAATGCATAAAACTTATATTATATTGGACTTCATAATTGTAACAAATTAAGTCATTTTATAACCTACCCAATTTCTCCTTCTTGCATGAAATGAAGAAGGAAATGTTTCACAACTGGAACATATCTCCAGCCATCAATCATCACATACGCCTGAATGTAAAAAAAAATTATTTAATTAAAAATTATATAAATGTATTGGTTGTAAGGGCTTTTAAATCAAAGAGAGTCAAGAATGGTAATAAACTGCTTGAATGCATTATGATTTTGTTTTACATTTTTACTTTACTATTATTATTTAACAAAATTAATAAACTAAAATTTATGGTACGATTTATTTGTATAGAATATTTCTGATTACCAAATACCCCAAATCTACCAGGAAGGTTTCCCACTGAAGAAAGTTTTGACAGCTTTAAGTAGGGCGTTCCCTTTACCTTAAGATACACAGGTTCCTTCCTAAGCACAACCATCTCCACTTCAGTGAAAAATCCAAGTTTTTTGTTGATAACTTCTTCCCAAGACCAGCGAGTTTTGTCTTTCCCGATAAAAACTCCAAGTATAGGAACCTTGTTTTCTGCCACCATTTCCCAAATGTGTTTTTGAACTTGATGAGATTAAATTAATTTTTATAAGATCACATGATATAAAAGTGTTAACCTTACATAATTTGACTGGATAAATCCTGTTTTCCTTGCCGTTACAGCCGGAGCCAAACATAAAATATTTACTGTACCAAATACTAAATGAATGAGTCTTTTAAAAAATTTTTTTAGTAAAGTTAATAAATACCCTATATGTCTTGTGTTTAAAGTGTTTTATTTGTAAAATGTTGTCTTGGTTTAAATATGTATTTGTCTTTGTACTGAAAATGAATATGTAAAATGTAATCAAGAAACATTTACACTCCTTTGGATCAATAGAGAATCTTATATATTTTATCTTATCTTATCTTAATGCTCTTGTTTTGAGCTGACAATAATAAACATATTTTTCTACATTTAACAACGAATGATTCCCTTTCTAATAAAGTCACAGCTGAAATTTTATAAACTATTTTTTTTTAGTAATTTATCAAGTGCATTAAAAATTTTGACAAATTATTTACATTACATTTACAAATCATTAAGTACCACATATAACACAAAACCTGAGTTTTATTGCATATTTTACTGACACTTACTCATGACAGCAAAAAGTTGTGCAGCATCTGCTTCACATCCTGTAGGTCCTTGTATGTAGTAATGTTCATGGAGGTCCAACTGAGTCAGGTATGGACGCATCTTACCATAAAGGGCGGATGGACCAGTTATGCCGACACAGATACCAATCTTATTTAAAAAGTGAAAGTAGGTACCGGTAGATCTAAATATATCCCGATTTTTAAAAAATGCTAAAAATAAAAAAATTTTCATACCCTACACTTTAATTTCCATCATGATGTAATGTAATTAATTTTATCAATACTTTTTTTGATAAAAATAATTGTTTATTTTATCGGCTTATATATTATACTCTTTTCGGTTTTGATTTGGAATAATGTGTTATGCAAAATTAAGATAATGTTGGTGATAAATAACTTTTGAAAAAAGACATTTAATAAATACTTTTTGTTTTGCAAAGTATATTTTAAAATTCTGTCAACTATCCATTCAAATCATCAGTGTACTTCCATAAATTACCCTGTAAGGTCCTTTGCGTTGTAAATATGCCTTATTCATTAGGTTTTCTTGTACACATTGCAAAATAGGAAGATAACCCCCTGCATCCAGTAAAGCTATAGCAGTTGCTGGCCCTTCAAGAAATTTTTAAAAAATGGTTACTGTGAAAAATACAAATTTTATGTTACATCTGAAAAATACAAGATTTATTTTACAAAATCAGTTATACCACCCATTTCAACTATTTACCATCTTCTTGTCCTTATAGATAAAGCTAAGTTCTAAAATCTGAACTGAGCTTATCAAGACTCTCCCTTACTGGTCATATACCTGCTAAATCCACTAAGCAAAAGTAACAGTTCTAAATAAAAGGGATTTATTGCACACAAGTACACACCATATCCATCACAACTGGGCAACTGGTAAATAAAATTATCTGGGTCTGCATCAAGGGAAGTTTTGGTCAGCATGCGGTCAAGTATGGCAGATTCTGGCTCAAAACAAAGGTCCATTCTTGTAGGAAAAAATAAATCCGCGATCAGTAGAATACTTAAGGCTTAGAAAGCTAGCAAGAAAATAAACTATTGAGGGTGATTAGCTTGAAAATATTATCCCCAAAAGTCAAATCTACATGGGGAGAAGATTTCATTGTTGAACAAGTGTATATACAAATTATTCAAATGTCTCACTTTATGTGTGAATATCTTATTAATTTAAATAAGTTGATCATAGTTCATAATTTATTGCAGCCTACACAACGTACGGCCCGCGGGCTACATACAGCCCACGGGATGCATGCGGCCCGCAAGCACCCACTTTGTGGCCAGCGAAGACCTTGGCGAAAAATCATAATATTATAAATTAATATTCCCTGGCATATTGACACATAATATTACAATAGGTATATATAGAGTATAATACTATATAGATTTATTTCAATTTTAAATAATCAATAAAAGAATATTTTTTTTAAAATTTCCCCACATTTACTTGAAAGGAATATTTTGTTTTATTTAATCAAATTAAATTAGATCTACTAATTTTTTACCGTTGTGTAAATATTTCACTACACGTTTTCTTTCCTCGCGACGATATTAAATCACACATGCACGCTTTTCCCGAGCGATTCCTCTTTCTCGAGTGAAATTGACTACGGTTTACCGCGCTTATGTATTCTGAGTCAACATAGCCTACAGGCTTAAGTGTTTTCAAAACTAATGTCTTCTGTGCAGAGTAGCTTTTTACTATTTTTGTAATATTGTGTAGAATTGTGTTGTGTTGAACTCATGTATCGCATTATTTTGATATTCTGTGCATTTAATTCAGTAAGTAATATACTTATAGACCTGTCGTTGAAATATTTAAGTGCCATGAATTAAAGCAGAAAGAGAAAATTAGAGATAGAGCACAGAATTTTTAATCCTGAATGGAAAAATAAATACTTATTTACAGTGTTCAAGGACAAACTACTGTGCCTCCTATGTCGTGAAACAGATGCTGCGCCGAAAGAGTATAATCTTTGATGGCATTTTGAATCTAAACATCCTACTTTGTCAAAATTGGACCAAAATTAAAAATCCATTAATGCAGCGAATCTATCGAAAACTCTTGCTGAAGAGCAGACATTTTTCAAGAAAAAGAGCAGTGAAAATGACACTGCTACCAAGATAAGCTTTTGTATTTCAAAGGAAATTGCTACTGCTGGGAAATCCTTTACTGAAGGCGACTTTGTAAAGAAGTGCATGCTGATTTCCACATCTGAATTACGTCCGGAAAAAACAGTGTTATTTCAAAACATCAGTTTATCTCGAATGACAGTGAAAAGTAGAATAACTGATATTTCCATCAATCTTCATGAACAATTAATGCGGAAAACTTGTGAATTTTCTTTTTATTCTCTAGCCATGGACGAAAGCACAGATTTAAAAGATACCGCCCAACTTCTCATTTTTATTAGAGGTGTTGACAAAAACTGTGAAATTACCGAAGAACTTGCTGGAATGTACTTCATGTCAGGTCGCACAACCGGAAAAGATATCTTGAGTGAAGTGATAAAGTGCTTGAAAAATAAGTTGGGATTAGATTTTATAAAATTAGTGGCCATTTGTACAGATGGTGCCCAGAATATAACGGGTATTAATAAAGGAGCAGTTGGGCTTCTTGAAAATTTTATCAGAAGGCAAATAACAAAATATCATTGCATTATGCATGTGCAGGCCTTGTTTAGCGAAGTGTTACATTTAGAACATGTTATGTCGGTTGTTGTCAAAATAGTCAACCACATAAGATCAAGAAGACTCAAACATAGGGCTTTTCAAGCTTTTCTTGAAGATATAGAAGCCGACTACAGAGGCGTAATATACCATGCAGAAGTGAGATGGTTAAGCCGAGAAAAAAGTGCTTCAGCAATTCGTTGCTTTGAAGAAGGAAATATGTAAATTCCTAGAAGATGAAGCAAAGGAATTCCCTGAGTTTGAAGATATGAGACCTGGAATCATGACCTCTGCTCCTTTTGTGATATTACAACACATCTAAATGGCCTTAACGTTCAAATTCAAGGTAAGCAACAACTTGTATTTCAAATGTTTGCTGCAGTAAAAGATTTGAAACTGAATATGAAACTTTTCAAAACCCAGTTACTAAATGGTGAAATGAGTCACGTCTCCACTTGTGCACAGCATATTCCTCAGGACAAGCACATTGAGTTGGTAAAGACATTTTGTTAATGAAATTAATCTTTTGATAGAAGAATTTGATAAAAGACTCACTCTTTCTAAAGAAGAAGAAATTCAGTTTAAACTAATTATTGAAGATCCATTTTCTGTGAATCCTGAGGACATACCAGTTCAATTGCAGCTTGAGCTTATCGAACTACAATGTTTGGCAATTTACCAAAGCAGCACATAGAGAGCAGCCTGCAGGAGTTTTATAAAAATCTGGACCGTGAGAAATACAAAAATCTTTACGAAGTAGCACTAAAAACTTTTAGTGTGTTTGGAAGCACTTATCTATGTGAACAGACATTTTCAATAATGAACATTAATAAATGCAAGCCACGTTCATGTTTGACTGATGATCATTTGGAAGACATCTTGAGAACAGCCACTTCCAATACATCTCCTGAATACGACAAACTTGTTACCGAAAAACCATGCAATGTTTCATATTAAATTTACTTCGTAAGTAAGGAAATATTATTTATTATTTTCTTAATAGCCCCCCCCCCCTCCCACCCGTCCTATTTTCTTTTGGACCGCATATGTTTTTCATGAAGTATTATGATAAATTTACTTCGTAAGTAAGGAAATATTATTTTTTTTTTTCTTAATAGCCCCCCCCCCCCCTCCCACCCGTCCTATTTTCTTTTGGACCGCATATGTTTTTCATGAAGTATTATGGCCCGCCTTACATTTTGAGTTGTGCTGGCCTGATTTATTGCATTAAAATTTGAGAATGCAATCAACAGATCTTGGATCATTTACAGAATACAATTTAGGAGAGTAGAGTTACTTTTTTTAAAGGATCAATTATAACATTTAACATTAATAAATCCTTACTTCATAGTACTACTCCTAATAAATCCTTACTTCATAGTACTACTCCTAATAAATCCTTACTTCATAGTACTACTCCGACACTTGGTGATAAAAGTTGGGAAAGGATTTGGTGGGAGTTTTTTCCCTCTGAAAGTTTCTTCCAGAAATTGCTCCCACATTTCATCCAGATGGGTATCTATAAGATACTGAGATAAAGGAAGATAAGTAAGGCGCATAACATTTATAACATTACATTTTTTTATATTATCATATTTATAAAATTTATTTACATTTTAAATATGTTTTTAAACATTCTTTAATCAGGCAGGATAAGTTTGATCGTCAATAAACAAAAAGACAAATAAATTGATTTTAATGAGTATGCATGAAATACCTTCATTAGAACAGATTCTTTACTTATCATCTTGGGACCAGTTTCTTTCTCCATACATTTAGAAACAAAAAGCTCTGGGAATTCAATAGGAGATATTAATATTGTAAAATGGCACTTCTGATTATCTGTGCCTGTTTAAAAAGGTGGGATCTCATTACAATAGTAAACAAAGTGATTGCCTTTATGTTCAAGGACTGACAACTCACTCATAAACTGTAATTTATTATTAATAATAATAATAATAATAAGTGGTCTTATATAGCGCGGTACCCCGGCCTAGGGCTGGGCTCACCGCGCTGTACATAAATATAGCAATCATAATATTAAAATAAAATACATAAATGAAATAAAAACAACATATAAGCAAAACAACACCATAGGTATATTCATCCACCCACACCAGACATTTTTACAAGGAAACCCATGTACGTTTATCGGTTTATAGGAATATAGGGAGCCAATGTAGTGAGTGGAGTAGTGGAGTGACGTGATCGCGTTTTTTTGCCTTAAGAACAAGCCTAGCAGCAGAGTTTTGAACTTTCTGCAGTTTTTCTATAAAATGTTTCGGTGAACCTGACAGAAGTGAGTTGCAATAATCAAGACGAGAGAGAACAAGAGCACAGACTAGAGTTTTTGTTGCGCTAACTGTCAGGTAGTGGCGGATGGAGCTGATCTGACGGATGGCGGTGTATGCTGAACGACAAATGTGAGAGATATGTTTATCGAGAGACATGTTGTTAGAAAGAATATAACCAAGATTCCTAGCAGAGGGTGTAAACTGTATGTCGGAGTTACCTACTTGAAATGAGGTGGGAAGAATTGAGGTAGAGGATGATTTGTGATTGTAAATGAGGAGTGCTTCTGTTTTGTCATCATTAAGCTTCAACTTGCTGAGTGTCATCCAAGACTTGACATCATCAATGCATCCCCGCCAAGTCTGGACAGCGGAATCGACAAGAGATGGATGGGTATGCATGTATAGCTGCGTATCATCTGCAAATGACTGGTTCTCAACAGCATGCCTCCCGAGCAAGAGGAGTAGTGGCCTGGTATACATTATGAATAGAACCGGACCCAAAACGGACCCCTGTGGCACTCCGTACACCAAATCAGCACTGCCGGAGAGACAGCCATCGACAGAGACCATTTGCGTTCTATCAGAGAGGTAGGACCTAAACCAAGCCAAAACCGAACCAGAAATTCCAAAGTAGTTTTCAAGGGTTTTGAAAAGGATTTCATGGTCAACAGTGTCAAAGGCCGCACTGAGGTCTAAGAGGATCAAAATGGAGACATTACCGCTGTCCATTGCGCGCAAGAGGTCATTACTGACTCTCAAGAGAGCTGTCTCCGTGCTATGGAAATGTCTATAGGCCGACTGATTAGAACTGAGAAGAGAGTGATCATTTAAGTAAGCAAAAAGTTGTTTTAGGACTAGTTTTTCAATAACTTTAGATAAAAATGATAAGTTAGATACAGGTCTATAGTTTTTTAAATTATTTTCATCCAGACCGGGCTTCTTAAGCAATGGTTTGATGACAGCTGATTTGCAAAGAGGCGGAACAGTGCCAGAATATAAGCTTTCATTTATTATGCGGGTTATTGTTGGGAGCAAGATATCTAATGACTCAACCAACAGGGGGGTTGGGATGGGATCCAAATAACATGACGTATGTTTAGATTTTAGGATTATATTTTTTACCTCAAGTTCTGAAACAGGTTTAAAAATATTAAAATGGGAAGTAAGACAAGGGAAAGGAGGCAATTCAAGGGGAGGGGCATCAAGACGATCAAGCTCAGCTCGAATGTCAGCTACTTTGCTTGTAAAGAAATTACAGAAAATATCTGGTTGCTTGGGCAGGGGAAACACCGAAGGAAGCGCAGTTCCTTTGTTACTCCCCCTAAGGTGACCACAAACATCAAACAACTGCCTGCTGGTTTTACCCATAGTTATCTTTTGGCTAAAATACGTAGTCTTTGCACGACAAACAATCTGATTGACACGCTTCTTGGCAGCGTAAAATATCTGCTTAAAAACCACAAGACCTGACCTTAACCACTTCTTTTCTGCACTACGGCGCTCTTTCTTGGCACTGCGTAGTTCCTCCTTGATGGTCGCATACCAGGGAGATGACCGCTTTAGACTAAAATTGCGGCGGGTGACAGGGGCGTGCCGGTCAAGCACAGCGCGCAATGCACGGTCTAGTGATTCCAATGTAGGGCAGAGGGCAGGGGACACTTCTACGCTTAGGTCATGCTTAAATGCATCCCTGTTTATAGCTCGCAGACTGCGCACCTCCCTAAACTGAGGGGGAGGGTTGGGGGCACTAACACTAAGTTCACAAATAACACAGAAGTGGTCAGAGGACAGCTCTTGTGTGATTGAAGTAGATCTAACTACACCATCTTGAGGCCTATGTAGTACCCAGTCAAGAATATGTCCACGATTATGAGTCGGTTGGTCGACCGATTGGTGAAGACTGAATAAATCCAAGAGATCCAACATCCTAGCAGTGGAGGGGTGCTGTGGTTGATCAAAATGGAAGTTCATGTCGCCTAGTACAATGTAAGTCCCGGTCAATGTGTTGCAGTGGTCAATCAAATCCGGGAATTCTCGATGAAACACTGAGTCGGTCAATTTATTTTTCTTACTAGGGAAGGTGCGATATATGCACATGAAATGAACTGTCTGCTGGGGCACTGACAGTGTAAATTGAACTACCTCAAAAGACGTGTGGACGAATGGGAGGTCTGTGACAAAAGCTGTATGATGGGACAACGTGTCTCTATATATAATAGCAAGGCCTCCGCCGCGAGTTGAACGGGGAAATGATCTGGCAGAATAGCCATAGGGAGCGAGATCGGTGCACTTCCCCTCATCGCCAGTCAGCCGAAACCAGGTCTCCTGGATAAACAGAATGTCAATCTGCCTATCAGAGACAAATTCGGAGACTGCAATTCGTTTCTCATAGGGGCCAAGCGACTGGGCGTTGAATGTGGCAATGAGAAGTTGTTTGTTGATAGAACGTGGAGAGGTTTTGATGTGAATGAGGTTGGCAGGGTCCGAGTAGTGTAGAGTAGGTCTTGGTAAAGAATGAGTGACAAGTTGTTGTTGTTTTCGTCTACCACCACGGTGGGTGCGCTTCCGAGGCAGGCCTCGACCAATCAAAAGCTCTTTCAGTCGACACACGAGGTCAGCGGTCAGATGCGTACGCTTGGCATTCATTGACAAAAGACGATCACGTGTGTATGCAAGCACAGGTCGGTTACCGCCGTGGGGGCTGCGTGTGTCACTGACCGTAACGTCGACTTGACCGAGCGATGAGCGTGGTGCCGACAAAGATGGCCGACCGTGTAGGCGGTGAATCTCACTAACCTTTGCAACAAAGAAAATCCAAAACAACAAAAGTCCAAAGTTAGGAGGGACACAAAACATATCCGAATCAAAGTAGTGGTCCATGGTGGATATCCAGTACAGAAAAAACAATACAAAAATCAGTCAAACACACATAAAATTGCATTCAATCAGGAGCCCGAGTCTATACGTGCCTGCAAGGCGTAGCCTCGTTCTCGTTACATAGGCTAACAGAAAATCTTTTAAAAACATTTATTAGATCTCATTTTTTTTATCGTCTCCACACGTTGGCAAGTTAAATCTGTTCACTGACATCTTGATTGCATAACCTGAGTAATTATTTTAAATCATAAATATTCAGAAGAATTAGTTAAAATTCTGACTTGAGTAGATCTTACTGGTTTCTTCATGTTTCATGATGTGCTCATCTTCAAACCCATGTTTCATAACAGCTTGTTTTGGTATTACATCCTGTAAATAATTATCATAAATAATTCTTTTACATCAACTGATAAGTTTGCTAAGTGCATGCATGGCAATAAGTCACTCTATTAAACAAAAAGATAGCCAGTTAAGCCAAATAATCTCTTATGTTTGATTTTTTAACATAGAGTTTTTAGCTTTGGGGTAGGCTCTCAAAAAACATTTGACTAGTACAAGATGTATTGTTTAGATTTAGATCAGGGATGGCCAAATATACAGCCTGTGGCCCACATGCATGTTTTATGCTGTGGCCCACCACATGTATCACAAATGAAGTTCTGCTTTCTTAAATCATTTGAATTTCTTTTATTGTTGTTAAAAAAGCATGTTTGAAAATAATGAATTATATTATCATATAAAAGAGTAACATCTTAATTAAATCTATACAATTTATTATTTGTGTGTGTGTAGATGTGTTATTATCCAACAATTATAGGCATTAATGATTCATAAATAATTTTGTACAACTTTGATTTTTTGTTTATTTTATTTGATAGGTGCAATGACTTACAACCCAAAAAGCCATTTTAATTGATCTTGTTCATGGCAACATAAAATATTTAAAAGACATAAATGTTACCCTTTGACTTGCAGCCTCTGGATCTCTTGTGTTTGATGCTGGTCTGGGGACAACTTCAAAAAAACTTTTATGGAGCTCTTCTATCTGACCCTGGAAGACAGAAAATATCATTACAGTGAAATGTATATTTTTGCAATTTTCATATAAATAGTTCAAGGCGCATAAAAAAAAGCATACATATCTAAAAATCTCTTAGAGTAACTATTACTATAAGTTTTAGAAGATAATTTATTGCATTTAATTTTAATTGCGTTCAAGTACTTAATAAGTAAATAATAGACATTTTTTTAAGGTAACAACACAATTTTAATTATTAATTTTTAAAAACTAAACAAAGCAAGAAATAAGAAAATGATTCAGTATTTACTTTGACAAGTGGGCACCAGAAGAGTGCATCTTCTGACAGCCTCATGAGAGTAGTTAACATGAAACTTTGCTGGTCACGCAGTGTCAGCACAATAAGACTCAGGTGTGAGGATGACCCAAGCTCTTCATCATTGACATCCAACAGTCCACTGACCTCAGCTGACATGGCCCTCCCAACAGCCCTCAAATCAGAACTCCTTTCATGACTGTTTCAGGGAGTGTTTTTTTAACAGTAATATTAATGAATAAATTGTACGGTAGCCATCTTTGATATTTTTATTTTCAATTTCATAAGCACATAAATTCTTGACTATTAATAAGTAGGTCATCATAAAAATTATTATTGTCTTGATAGAATTAAAAGATGAATTGTTTAGTTCATACTTCTAGAATTTCCGAATTTTAAAAAAAAAGTATGGGACTAAAATAACTTCTTCTTTAAGGGTTAGTACCCCCTTTTTCATCTTGTCCTCTCAAAACAAGTTGAAATTGAAATCCATTCAAATAGGTCTGGGGTAGCATTAGCATGAAAATACCTCTTTCTCTTACTCATGATTAGCACTGGAAATGTATACATGTACTTCTGAACCATTGGCCATGTTTATATCTGAAATATTGGCCACGCACATTTCTGAAATGTTGGTTATTGTTTTTATACCAGTACTAAATTTTTATTCAGGGAACATGTTTATGATATAAATATCGTGTAGCCTACTTGGCTATTCCAGGGTTGCATTTGATTAGATTACACACAACTTAAATTTAATAACTTACAGACTGAGGGCAAGCAGTTCATCAATTTCATTTTTATATTCTTGTAAAAACTGCCTGACTCTGTGCCCATCAGGTCTCTGTAGCACAGTGAATAAAATATTATATTCATATTTATTTAGTGATGCAGTAGTGAAGGGTTTTGAGTTTTAAAAAATTCATATCCTCTTTATCAGATTTTACTTGCAATCTCACCCTGCTGTACAAAATCTAAATAATGATTCTCTAAGTCAATATTGTCACCAATTGAGTGAAGTTCCAAGACATACGAAGGTTGATTTTTGGACTTGACAAATAATTTAGACGCCTTGTTTCAGTTTGATAGGATGACGGGAAGGGGGTCAATTGTTAAATTGTTCAAGTTTAAAATATGTTTATCTTTATAAGAATATTTATCTATGCGCTGAAAATAAATATGTACATTGTAATAAAATAACTTTCCATTTATTTGTATCTAAACACATTTTGGATGATACATCCCACACTCTTCATCCTAGATACTTAGTATCGGGCCATTCGGGACGAATTCTTTCGATCAGGGCGAGGACTGACCGATATAAAAATTCTTTTGTTCCCCAATCTCTACGAATTTACCAGCGTGCTTCCTCTGAAGTCACACATCTGAATGAGAACTAATAAGTCCCCAATTTTACTAAGAGAACTCACTGAATGGCTGTTTGAAATAATTTATTATAAATGTCATGTGTTCAAATTGTTTTATTTTTGTGCTGAAAATGTACAATGCAATCAAAAAACATTTCCATTTATTTGGATCAATAAAAGAATCTTATCTTATCTTATCTTATCAATAAAAGAATCTTATCTTATTGTTATGGGTTTATGAATTCAACAAATCATTACTTTCTTAGTTTATAGTATTTTTTACACATACTGGTATATTAAATTAAGAAATGTAAATACTATGTAAAAAAATATTGATTTATGATTAAACAGAATAATTTATCATTCAAGTTGTGGGCAATGTTACTAAATTAATTTTGTTGTATTTGTACATTTCTAATTTTTTTTTAATAGATATATTAGTGAAGGGTACTGACAAAACATTTAAGTTAGTTCCATTTCTGAGTTTAAAAAATAACAAAACTTACATTCATAAAGCCACGTATCAGAGCTCTCACTGCCTTATTTTTCTCTCCCAACATATGCAGCTTCCCAGCAGTCCCATGACATAATTTGTACAGTTCAATCAACAGTGGAGTGTCTGTTTTCTTTCTGTAATTGAGTGGATTAAATTATTTTATAAACTTCTCTGAAATTAATAAAATCTAAAAAAAAAAAAAAAAAACAAGAACTGGGTGTTTTTTTTCTTCTTCAAAATAATATTTATGGAGTGTCTGTTTTTTTTCTGTAATTGAGTGGATTAAATTATTTTATAAACTTCTCTGAAATTAATAAAATCTAAAAAAAAAAAAAAAACAAGAACTGGGTGTTTTTTTTCTTCTTCAAAATAATATTTTATATCTTAGTAAATAAATACAGATTTTTTAATTTTTAGTAATATTTATATTCTTTTATGAGATGAATTCAAATTTTGCTCTTTTAAACAGAAACTTGCCTTTCCATCAGGATGAGCAGAATCAGGTGGTAGACTATATCAAACAGTTGAACCCAAGCATCAAAACAGACAATTCTCTTCTGTAGGTTAGATCTGTTGATTAAAGTCAAAACTTAAAAAATATAATACTTACTTTAATTAATTAATTAAATAACAATAACTAGTACACATAACAAATCGTAATATTTTTTCAGACTTTTTCTTCTTTTTATACCTAAGCAGACTTAGGCCAATGTGAATATTTTGGGTTCTATTTACCAATAATATCAACATGCTTAGATGATTGTTTTTTAAAGATATTTTTGGCTTAGAGTTGGTTTCAAATATATTTGTAATCCTTACATTATCATTCAAGCTTTAAAAAATATATTTTAAGACTAGATAATTTAATTTAAGAGACCCGAAATCGAGCAATGAAAGTATTAGCAATGGCCTTATTCATTTAAAAAAACTACACCAAGATATAAAACATTATTATTTGGGACTTGGAAGTAGATGAAAACAAATTTCATTATTTCTATCTTACATTGTGTATTTATATTGAAAAATAAACAAAAATAAGCCCTCAAAATATACACATATATCAAATATATCAACATACTTAATTGGTGATGTAATTTGCCAAGCAAATGCTCCTGACCCTGGGTCATCAGCCATTCGAAAGCCATCGATAAGAGCTCTGCGAGGTTTTTGGTGCTGTAGCCTTTGGTGGACATGACGATGAATATAGTGGTAATCATCTTCCACAACAGCAGAGAACTTTCTTGCGGTCACACCAGGTGGACCTTGTGTAGGTCGGGCTGTTTTAAAAATAAAGTTTTTAAAAAATCACAAATAATTCCTTAGCACAGAAAAATTTGTCACCCCCAACAATTTTTCTCCATATTTAATAATGACAATAACTTACATCATATGGTAATCTTATTAGCATATTTGTTGAGAATAAACTAACAACTAATGGTCATGGAATAAAGTTATTTTAAAGGAAAAATTTATCAAATGAAAGCCTCAGTATCAATCTTATCTCTGCATATGGTGTCATGTTGTTTAAATAACAAACATTTTTTTCATATTAATTTTTAAGAATGGAGAGATTTAAAGACTCTGCCCCAATGAAAATAACTGAGACTTTAAAATAGGTGAATCTTAACCCAAAAAAACATCCGATTAAATTACAAATCTGTAATTAGTTTCCAAATGTCTCCAGTGGCCTATCCTCTTTGGGAGAAAATGAACAAAGCAATATCTATTTTATTCACCTGATGTCCTCCTTATATTGGCATGGTCCAACATGTTCATCTGGGAGCCAAACATGGCAATGTAGCACTCAGCGTGTGTCTGGTTCAGGAAAACGCCTTCATGCAGAGAGGCCATTGGAAACTCAGCAAAGTTTGATATCCTTATAAGAGAATATTACATCATAAAATACTCTTAACACACAGACTACCTTGGTGCATTAAACAATTTTTTTTGGTATTATTATCCTTCTAAATCTCCATAGCACCTATATCCTTTCTATTTTCTTTCAAACTTTATAGTTATTTATTGAAACAGTCCACATGTCTTGATAGAGCAAGACCTACCCCTCTCCACTTTTTTCTGTAGCAACCTCCAAAAAGGTCAAGGTGTATTGCTTCTGACCCTGTAAGTAATTAGGCTTCAATGGGTCCATTTGGAAAACACACTGTAAACAAATTTTAGGTTTTCAATAAGCAAATTAATTGCTATATCAATATTATATGAAAATATTTCAGTTTACAAATTCAAAATTAAACTTTACAAAAAAGTTTGGGGAGCTTACTTCTGGTTTAAACTTATTCACACTTTTCTGTGTATAGTGCAATATAAGTGCAGGACTGCCCCCATTTAAATGCATCATTAATTTTTTAATTACATTTTTAATTTTCTAATAATTGATGTTAGATATATTTGACATGTTTATATTTCATAATTACTACAACAACTTGGTTAAAAAAAATTTGTTAACTCTATTTAAAAAAAAAAACAATGATGAATATGAAGTGAAATGTTTTCAGAAAGGTGTCACCAAAGATAGATACCTCAGCAATGATGTATTTATTACCAAGTACAGCATCACATAGCTTTTGCATTAACTCCCCTTTATGAGACTGAATAGTTTCTGGGTCCCAAAACTCCAGAAGCCACTCTTTCTCAGTTTCAGAAACAGAAGTCTGCACTGGAACATTCAAGCCTGCAGTAAGAAAAACATATTTGTGTTAAAAGTTCAAGGTTTGACAAAAACATGTTGCTTGGCTATATTTACGTCTCTTGCACCTTTAGTACATAATTTCTTAGCGATTGAAATTGTTTTTTAAAAATATCCTTAATTTTAATAAGAGCTAAATATATGTTATGTTAAAACTCATTTTGATTTTCATTAATTAACACCTTCAACACTGTAGGTCCCTTATTTTGAAAAGGATATTAACCCTTTTTAAAAATCTTTTTTCAATACCTGTATCTTATTCCTTTGTTTAAGTTGACATAGTACATATAGAAGTTGAACATTAAATAAAGTTTCAAAAAATACTAATCAAGGTCAACAAATATCAGCACCATGGCCATGCTTTGAAAGACAGCAGTATTTCTGAATATTCACTGAGCTGATGGAGCTTATTTAAAAATGTTAGAACACTTTAAACAAAAAAATTATTAACAAATTATTGATTTAAGGGGATTTGCAATGTTTGTCCAAAAAATAGCCTGTATGTTAAACTACATAGTTTTTGTAAGTAAGACCTTTTAGAAAACTATATGTTTAACAAAAAAAAGTATAATAATTAAGCACACTCAAATTAACAGACCTATCAAAATGTGATGTTTGCTTTCAATAAGACTGTCCACATCAAGAATGACACTGTTTACAAATATGGAAATTGCCTGAAAAAAAAACAACACATTATACATTCAGATAAATAGATCTAATTAAATTTTCATTAAAAAAAAAAAAAACCTGAATGGATTTTATACTGGGGGGAGAATAAACATACAAAGCATTCACAGATTATTTGAACAGCATATTTTAAAGTCAAATGTTCATAGGTCACAAATTCTAATTAAGTTTTAAATGTAATACTTTATCTAATACAGAAATGTTGTGCATACCTCATCTAATCTTTTTCCCGTGATGAGGAACTCAAGCCTATACTGTGCTATATGTACTTGTCTATAGAATGACCCATGGAAGATGGCTGCTCCAACAAGAGCCACCATAACTTGATTCTGAACAAAAATATTGATAAACATTGTTTTCATTAATTTATAATGACAATCTTTTAAAAAAATAATAATTCCAATTTACATTTGCTATGGCAAAATTTGGATAAGACATTTTTTTATTCTGTTAACTATTAAATCAAGATGTAATTATTTAATTTAAAAAGAAATCCAATAAATTATTAGTGTAACATGGAAAGATAGCAAATGCATTTAACCAAATTGCTTAAAATCATACAGAGTATCCTTCTTTCTGATACAAGTCGTTGTAAGACGGTGTGATATTGTCAGACAACCAGCGATATCTGTTCATCATTGTCGTGTCCACTACTCTAAGCAAGCTGCGCAGACCCCAGACAGGGCCTCCTTCCTGTGGTGTGAAGAGGTCCAGCAGTTGGGTTTCTCTGAGAGGCACCGCTGAAAAAGAGTAATTAATATCACAAATAATGGAATGAATAATTAAGTACCAAAAGATAATAACTTGAAATATTAAAAATATTCCTAATAAGATATATTTAACATAAAAAAACTTGAATGTATTTTTTTAAAAATATTATGTCATTACTGGAACATTTCATCACAACAAACAAATTTAATAAATGGTTAATACCTCTTTCATCTATAAATGTAGATGATAAATACTTAAAACTAATTAAAAAGAAAAGAGATGAACAATGTCCAACTCACTCAGTGAGTATTCTATTTTATCATCCTTCACTTTGTCTGTGTGAAATCTGAAAACGGATATTAGACCCACTTTATAATAAATATTTATAATAAAAGGAATCTTAAAGCTTATGATACATAATAATATCATCATTTTTTAACATCCAGCTGCTAGAAATATGTTTATTTTTTTAAGTACCGGTAAACGGAAAGTATGTCTAGAAATAAAGATTATTGATGTTCATGAAGAAGACATTTTATGTGCTTTTAATTTTTTTTGCAGCTCAGCTTCAAGTTAAAAAAAACAACTTCTTATTTTAAGAATTATTATTATAATAGTATTTTGCTTTTTTTTTGGAAAAGTAATTACTTGGAAAAAATCCCCCCAACTTTTTAATGAATCTAAAATTAGAAGTGTATTCAATACAAACTTTTCCATAAATGGTCTAAGACGCACAGCAAAGCCAGGGTAAGGATTATAAGGAAGTTCATCTCGACTCAGTAACTTATGAAGCAGATTTTGAAATTGACTTTCAATGCCTGTTCTGTTGAGGTAATGGCGAACAGCATTTATGGTCACAGCTCCAACAGGCCCTGGTGGTGCCTCCAATTGCTCTCGAGGGACTCCCGCAAGAGGCTGTTATTGATTATAACATAAATGTAAAATTTCAAGAAAATAAGGTTAGTTATCAATGCTTGTTTGCGAGATAATAAAGTAGGGTACAGTCTTCTGCTTATACTTTATGACAATTACCAAAAAATTACACATTTTTTATGTTTAATAATAAAAATGTATATTCCTTTAAACAATTTTTTCGTATGGTTTAAATGACATCATTATTCCAAGGTTTCCTTTAAAAAAAAATTATGTAATAAATATAATGCAAATGAAGTAAGATCATTAGCATTAGTGGCGCATGAATGATGGGTTAAGTATTGGAAATGTGCTATTATTTGTACCTGTGACTCATTTTGTGAAATATCTGCTGTACTTGACATTCTTGATTAAAAATTCATATGAAATATAAACATCTCTCAATTGTAAACTTTTAAAAGCATTCTTGCCAGTTGTGTCAGTTTGCAATCTTGTGGCCTGTTTTTGATTTGATACAGAATTAAAAGTTAATTGCTGACATGGTTAAAAAAATTTTTTTTTACAATAACATTATTAACATGTAAATAATATTAATCATCCTTAAAAATGACAATTCTGATTTATTAATTTTTAAAAAAATTGAATGATATCTACTTGATGCCAGCAAAGTTTTCAAAATTGTGTTCTTATTATATCATCTCACAAGATCAAACCCTGTGCCTGTGTTTATTACCACATGATAATATATCAACATCAGCCTTTAAGCTATGACTTTAGGCATTTCATATTATATTTTCAAATCGACCATAGAAACAATAATTTTGATAAAAACTGAGAGTGAGAGGTTGGGTTTATTAAAAAATATTAAAAATATTATTGTAGGCAATGTAGGGTTTGTTACTTGTAAGATAAAATTTGGTATCAAATTAAAGATAATTGAATGATCTATATGTTTGTAAACTTACTACTTCAGTTTAACTAAAACAAACTAACAAATGACCTCCCAATAGCATTTAGTCTAAAGGGACCCAGGTACGCATAGCCGCTATTCTTAATGATCCTACATTTACAACATCATAATCATATCTAGGTACTTTAATAAAAAATTAAAAATTTTTGTAAAAATAAACTAATAGCAGATTTGAATAGAGCTCATTTTTTTAAAGAATTATAACACCAAAATCATATTTTTAGCTGTTGTAGTTTTAAAGTTATGAATTTTTAAAATACGACTTCATTTCATCCCCTAGAATGGCTAGAATAACAATGTTCTATATGACCTTTTGGTCAAACCGAGATATTCGCGTTTGAAAATTAATGTTTGGTGTGGATAAACTAAAAATGTTTCTTTGAAATTTTTCTTGTGTTATGTTTATATTATAAATACAAGGTTTGATCATTGAAATTAAAGTTCTAGTAGGTAGGCTATTGATTTTGATTTTATATGAATTTTTGAAATTTTTTATAGAATTTTGTATTTCTGAAAATGCTCTTTCACTTAAAAATAACAATGTTCTATTTATTTAACTCTATGATTTAAGCAGTTCCTTTCAAGAATAAATACATAATTCATTATTTAGATCACAAATACTAACAATGTAAGCAAATAAAGTTTGAATTTCCAAATATTCAGTAGATTGAAATTTTTATTTGGAATTTCAAACCACTATAACTTTCTTAATTTGCCTCTTCACTATAGGTCTACTTTAAAGTATTTTTTTTTTTAAATCGTACCAAAAAAAGAAAAAAAAAAGGAATTGGCATGATAATCGGAATGATAGTTCTTACAAAAAATATCTAAATCTAAGCTTTCTACTGGATTCTAAAATAAAATAAATATCATATATCTGAAACATAATGGCAATGCCAAGGGATGTGGCACTTTGTTTCTTTTTCTGACATTAAAAAGAGAAAAGCAGTTGGGAAATTAATGATAATAAATATAGGCAAAATTAAGACTTCTATTATATTATAAATTAAATTTAAATCAATAGAAATTAGACTAATATTAATACAGTAAGATTTTAATTAAAAGCGTTCCGTGCATCCTGCGATCCTGCTTGTACCAACATTGTTATCAGTAACATATTTTGTACACTTCTTACAATTTTGGGGTGCTTTATATTTATATTATTAATTATGAATGTATCATTTTCTATGACTAAATATTAAATCAGTGGTTTCCGTATCAATGGTAAACAAACAACAGCTTATTTGAAACTAAATAATTATTTCGATTCTTTACTTTAAAAAAGATGCAAATTAATCCAACAACAAAAAATATTAAAATAAAGAAAGACTCCCATCTATAATAAATCCTATACATTAAAAAGTGTGTCAGTTGATGTTGTTGAAGTAGTTGACTAATAATTAAATTGGCCTGAAAATTTAAATATATTTCGATCTTGTAATTCACCGAGATAATAAAAATACCGAGGCCTCGAGCTCTCTTGACATAAATTTAAGTTTGTTAGTATTGAAATTAAAAACCTTCACAGTTTATGCTAGCAAAACAAAGTTGAAAAAAACATGGAAATGCACGATGACGATGATGAACAGTCGGAGTTTGTTCAAAAGCCAAAAATTATCAAAAGTGTTTTGAAAGACACAAGTGATAAAAGATTGATTGTTATTCTGGAAAAAGCATCACTAGAGACAGTGAAGGTAATTAAATATACCAAGTGACTATTCGGACCCGGTATCAGAAGTGAGAGAAGTGAAGTGAAAGTGAGAGGAGAGGTGGGATTTGTAAAAAAATAAATATTTTGAACTAATATTGTTGGGTTTTTATGACGAAAATTGGTATCAAATGAAAAGATAATTGTATGGACTATATGTTTATAAACTTACTTCTTCAGTTTAACTAAAATAAACTACCACAAATGACATTGGAATCATTTAGTATGATTGGGCCAGGACACGCATGGCCGCTATTCTAGGTACTTTAATAAAAAATGTAAATACATTTTTTAAATAATACAGTTAGTTAGAGCAAATTTCAAATAAAAAAATTAAACCAGAATCAACTTCTTAGCTTAAGTACTTTTTGAGCTACTAATTTTTAAATTTAAAGTGTGAGTCCTCCACGGTCCACATCTTGTGATCTCATTCCGCTGATCGCGTCATGCCCAATGACTAGGGGTGTGCCGGACCCCGATCCGGAATCCGGTTCCGCCGGATTTTGCACTATCCGGTGAAATCCGGTTCCGCCGGATTTACATGTATCCGGAACAACCGGATTCCGGAATATACCGGATTTCGGAATTTGCCAGATTTTGTGACTCACCGGATCATAATCTGAAATAAAAGTAATTCTCTTTCCCGAATTCCACACGATCACGATACATTAATCGATTGTTTCGAGCGTTGAGCTTGTTTAATGTTTAATATTCCGTACATACCAGAGGCTAGAGTCAGCACCGCTAATAGTGGCCAATAGTGTAGGGACTTTGATAAGAAAATTTAAACTTTTTGTAAAAATAAACCAATGGCATAGTTGAAAAGATGTAATTTTTTAAAGAATTATAACACCAAAATCATATTTTTAGCTGTTGTAGTTTTAAAGTTATGAATTTTTAAAGTACGACTTGGTTTGTCATTTTTTAACATGGACTGCATCTCCACATTCTGTGATCTCATTCCGCCAATCCCGTCATGCGCAATGACTATATAGTTTATATAAGGCAACGCATTCCCTGCCTTATCACTAAAATACTGTTTAGACTTAGTTTAAACTTTCAACTTTGGCACATGAATAATTAATTAAAGCTTTCCCTGACCAATGGTTTAATAGTTTTTGCACACGGCAAACTCTTATGAATGAAACTCTGAGGTAGTACTACGATACAGTTATGCAAGTGGCTGTGAATGGTTGCCAATGACAACGTGTTGCACACGGTAAATTCTGATCATTTATAATATGGATTCTACCGGGTTGTTAAAGCTCAAATTAAAACATTCCAGTTTAAATGTCTTTAAATGCATTCTGAAACACAAGTTATCAATTATTTTGATGTAAATAGTGATAATAAATTAATATTTCCTAAGTATCGTCAACTTCCGCCATTAAAAAGGGGGGCGTGGCCAACCCCATGGCGAAATTAGGTTGAGCGAGCTGCATAACCTGCTGCGAACGCGTAGAAACATGGCGTCTCTCGTAAGACACTTATCCAAATGGAACGGAACTCAAATATATATCGAAAGTACTAATTTAATAATAAATAGACACACACATCGGAAAATTAAAAACTCGGATTTTTTGGCGCCGATTGCGAATTCCCATACACAAAAAGTAGTAGTCCACCTTGACTTACCGAAGTATCTACCAATAGTACCAAAATCCGGAATCCGGGAGAAACCGGAATCCGGATCCGGCGGATTTCGCATAAGAAAATCCGGATCCGGATCCGGTTGGAAAAAACGGATCCGGCACACCCCTACCAATGACTATATACTTTACATAAGGCAACGCATCCCCTTATAATTAAAATACTGTTTAGGGTCGACTAAGTTTAAACTTTCAACTTTGGCACATGAATAATTAATTAAAGCTTTCTCTGACTAGGTACTATAAAACTAGTCGACGCACCGATCTGCGCATGTCCAAAAATGTCGAAAAAACTTGCTCTACAATATGGCGTACAGCTACACGGTATCTTTGGAAAATTGCATACAACGTCACCTTTGTTTATTAAATAATTGCTTTCCTCATCAGTGACGTATCAGTTTTTGTGTTCCGCTGATATATTGATTTATGCTACAAGATTTTTTCTAGGGGTAATAAGGGGAGAGACTGCAATCAGGTTAGTACAAAATAAAATGAGTAAAACAGAGTAGGGTTAAACCTGAAAAAATAAACGCAACAAAACAGCGAACGTGTCGGCAGAAAGCCTTCGTCAGCTAACAAAACAACAGAAAAAACGGTATAAAAATAAGAAATAGCACTTAGCTGGAAAGTAGTATCTGTGGGCAGCACTTCTATTGCAAATTGATTTGTCTATAAAAAGTTATGCATCCCACGAAGAAGTGTGGGGTATGAAATTGTCATTATTTTTTATTTTGATCGAGAAGCCGGAAATGGCTGCTATCACTGTGATTCGTTAATGTTAAATCCTTAAACTTAAACATCTAAATAATTATAAGACGTTTAAAATGAATAATTTTAAGAAAAGATTATAACCAAACTTGAAAAGTTAATGTAGTAACCAAGGGTTGGTTTTAAGTTTTATTTATTACGTTAAAAATTGTGTATGGTACCGGTAAACAGTTTATCGTTCTTCATTATTGAATCAATATTTAATAGTTTTACAATAGTAATATCAATAATAATAGTCAATCCCAAGAACTAAAACTAAGACCATCGGTGAATGCTCCTTCTGCTTCCATGGGCCCACGTTCTGGAACCAGCTCCCCTTCCATATACGTCATAGTGAAACCTCGTCCATTTTCAAAAAGTCCCTTAAAACTCATCTGTTTAGGTCCGCCTATGACCTGTGATGCACCCTCCTTGCCCTACCTCATTTTCTGTTTCGGGTTGATACTCATCTGTTTAGGTCCGCCTATGACCTGTGATGCACCCTCCTTGCCCTACCTCATTTTCTGTTTCGGGTTGATCCTGAAGTGTCAAAGTGTCCTCGTTTTATAGCCATTTTCATTGTTTCTATAGAATAGTAGTTACCATCCTAGTGTCTCATTTGTATTTACTTAGTTTACATGTTTTAATAATTGTAAAGCGCTTAGAGCTTTATGATAAGCGCTATATAAAAATGCCTAAATAAATAAATAAATAAATAATAGTCGTTTTTCTCTTATTATTTCAGAGAATATTTGCTAAAATTAGGCCTCCATATCAATATCAGTTGTAATTATAAACAACTGTTATTATAATCCTATAATAGCCTATTTAGGGATAAGCTTAATATTTTTCTTAATCTAATTTAGATACTCCGCCGAAGCAAGAGACAGTCCTAGAAAGTTTGTATCGGAAATGGGCGTCGGCGCAATGGAATCCGAGTTTTTAATTTTTTCATGTGCATGTAATTTGAATAAATTAGGAGTCCTTTTGGCCCATAATATAATTAAGGTTTGACTCCGCCCATTAACGATAGGAGAAATGTTGAACTACATTCCCTTTGAGTTACTTTGTTCTTTATCTCAACTTTAAGTGAGGAAAATCGTATGTCAAAATAAGGCAACTTCGCATTAAAAAATTCGGTCTAAATATTCAAAGTAGGTCTTTCATATTAAAAGCAGGCCTGCATAATTTGTTGAAGTACACGTGTGCAAAATTTCATTGGGATAGCTCATGAAACATTTTCACAATTCTCTTCAACGTTGACCTCATTATGCAAAGGTCGCACAGGCCTTATTGGATTAGTGATCCCGCCCCTTTTTAAATGGCGGAAAATGCTGATACTTAGCTTAGGAAATATTCATTATTACCTCTCTAGACATCAAAATATTTGAAAACTTGTGTTTCAGAATGCATTTTGAAGACATTTAAACTAGAATGTTTAAATTTGAGCTTTAAAAACTCGATAGAGTCCATATTATTAACAATCAGAATTGACCGTGTGCAAAAAGTCATGGGAAACCATTCTCAGCCATTTGCATAATGCTATGCCTTAGTACTACCTCAAGTTTCATTCATAAGTGTTTGCCGTGTGCAAAAACTATTAACACCATTGGTCAGGGAAAGCTTTAGTTAATTAGTCATGTGCCAAAAAACAGCTAAAAATATGATTTTGGTGTTGTAGTTTTAAAATTATGAATTTTTAAAGTACGACTTAGTTTGTCATTTCTTAACATGGACTGCACCTCCACATTCTGTGACCCAATTCCGCTGTTCGCGTCACGAGCTATATAACCCTCGGTTTAAAATATGATTTTGGTGTTGTAATTCTTTAAAAAAATAGCTCTATTCAACTATGCCATTGGTTTATTTTTGCACATAGTTTTAATTTTCTTATCAAAGTACCTATCTAATTCTATTACTACGATTACAACCACACTTACATTTTAATTTTTAGCGTAAATTCTATATGTAACAGTTTTATTAAAATACATCAAATTAATAAACAGGACTCAAACAACATCATCGTAGTAATTATATTTTTATTAGGGCATAGAAAAACAGTACATAGACAATTATTTAATATATCAAATAACATTTTTTAATGAATTAGTCTCATCATCATGGATGATTTTGAGTAATTTTTATTTATAATTACATGCGTTCAATTTTATATATAAAGAAGACTACTTAACTTTTTATAAATATAATAATTGATTTAAAATTTAACACAAGCCTAATAAAATTAGTTAAAATTCATTAAACATGTTAGTTTTTTCATTTTTTCCTGTATAAATAATGATTTTCCAAATTTTTCTGTTCACTTTTTTCTGAACATACCCACAAATAAATATCTAAAAAAATAAAAGTCTTGTTGTTATATAAAAGTTTTGTTGTTTATTGTACTGTATATTGCATTGAGAATGTCTCCTGAAAATTTGGTAGCATTATCTTTTAAAATCAAAAAGTTTTGGGCAAAATAAGGCAGAAATTTGGAAAGTGGGTCACACGTTTTTTCAGTTAAATACTAAGATAAAGAAGGGGGTTTAAAAAAAATCACCAAAAAAATCATAACTTCACTTCTATAAAAGATAGAAAGATGAAATTGGTGTTGTTGTAAAGGTAAAGCTTATAGCTAGCCCTTTAAAATGATGTATCATTCATGGCAATTGGACAATATTTAAATTTTGTATCAAAGTACCTTCTCTGACCAATGATTTAATAGTTTTTCCACACGGCAAACTCTTATGAATGAAACTCTGAGGTAGTACTACGATACAGCTATTATTATGCAAGTGGCTGTGAATGGTTGCCAATGACAACGTGTTGCACACCGTAAATTCTGATCATTTATAAAATGGACTCTACCGGGTTTTTAAAGCTCAAATTAAACCATTTCAGTTTAAATGTCTTCAAAATGCATTCTAACCAAGTTATCAAATATTTTGATGTTAATAGTGGTAATTATTAAATATTTCCTAAGTATCGTCAACTTCCGCCATATAAAAGGGGCGTGGCCAACGCCATGTCAAAATTAGGCTGAGCGAACTGCATGATCTTCTGCGAGGGATATAGTAATTATTTTATGAATGAAATAGTTCCACTATCAAAAAATAAAAAACACGGATTTTCGCGCACCGATGCCTATTTCCCATACAAATTTTTTAGTAGTCTCCCTTGCTTCATCGAAGTACCTACCACTATTCGTATGTCATTTGGGTAAATTATTAGGTTAGAGATCGTCCTGCGATGGCCGCCATCTTTGTTGACACAACCAGTTAATTCTGTCACTAATGTATCCCTAAATTGATCCCTATGCCTAACCTGAACCCTAAATCGATCCCTATGCCTAACCTGAACCCTAAATCGATCCCTCAACCTAACCTAAACCATAATTCACCGCAAGTATAATAAACATGCAAATGACATCACGGGATGATCTCTAAGAATTAGCCGTCATTTGTGTTAGTTTTAAACTGAAGAATTAAGTTTATAAACGTATAGTCCATTCAATTATCTTTCATTTGATACCAAATTTTGGTAAATGATAAGTGTGGATGTCATGATTGGCCGCCATCTTGGTTGAGAAGACCACTTAATTCTTTCACTAAATTTAAGTAATCATATCCCTAAACCTAACCTGAACCCTAAATCATACTAAATGTGTCCTTAAACCTAACCTGAACCCTAAAATGTATCCCTAAACCTAACCTGAACCCTAATTTAGGGCAACTTTAATAAACACAGGAAAGACGTCGTGGCATCCACAACTATCATTAGCCCAAATTTTGTCTTTACAAACCCAACAATAATATTTTAAATATTTTTTTAAACCCTACCTCTCACTTCTGATACCGGGTCCGAATAGCCGCAGCCTTAAATTTAAATATATTACGCTTCACTTTCACAATAACTTTGAGTTAAAGTTTAGCCTGGGGTTTGGTCAGTGCGGGTGGTGAGACTCCTCAGAGGCCTCACACTCCACGTCCACACTATCACACTCAGTGACTCACTCTCAGGCTCATCCTCATACGGTCATTCACTTATTGTTGTACAGTTTTGTTACTTATTTATGTTGAGAATTCTTTACTTTCACTTACTTAGAAGTTAATTAGTTATTAAATTATCAACATGGCAGTGATGCCTAAGAATGTGATGGAAGACACAGATGATGGAGTTCATGGGCAAACTATTATTTAATTATTAGTAATAGTCAATTTTGTTAATTCATAAATAATTCATTCATTGTGTTGTGAAGTGCTCAGTCCACCACCATTCCACCCATGATCAGTGTATACATTTCCTCCAGTGAGCTTTGCTTTACATTGAATTTCAGACTTAGACTTAGTTGCATTATGCCATGCAATCATTAGACTTTGGTAGCTCTTTGCCTTACCTGGCATAAGAATTAGTCCTTTAGTCCTCTGTCCACACGGCGAGTTACGGACCGCCGTTCTGCCCCATAGCTTACGCCCGAAATTAAGGACGCGAAGCAGAAGCAGCGACGTGCAATATGCCAATGGCAGAAGTCTGGCTTGACCGTGCACCGACAAATCTTTTTTGACCACAGAGAACGAACCAAGAAGTTGGTCCTTGCAGCTAGGATTGAGCATGTTAGTCATCAGATTACAGATAGCAGCTCAAGCAAGGACTTATTTGGCATTGGGGGTCAGCTGACCGGTAAAATCAAGGCTACATCTCTGCCAAATAACATTGCTGTAGAAGAGCTGCCAGACGCACTAAATGACTTCTTTATTACAAAAGCTAAGAAGATCAGTGTGAAACTTGACAGTTGTATCGATACTGCTCCAGAATTCTCACTCTTCAACGGCTCTCCTATGGGCGAATTTGTTGAGGTCAATGAATCGAATGTGAGGAAAATCCTGACTGATACCCTAAGAAAGTCATGCTCATTCGACCCTCTTCCAGCAGGGCTGATGTATGAATGTCTGGATGAAATAGTCCCCATCATCACTTGTAACGGCACTGTTAAAGAAAGGAAATCTTGACCCAAATGTGATGGAAAATTATCGCCCCGTCTCAAATCTACCATTTCTATCCAAAATCTTAGAAAAATTTATTCTCCGCCAACTCCTGGATCACCTCATTCAGTGTGACTTGCTTGAACCTTTCCAGTCAGCCTACAGGGCGCATCACTCTAATGAGACAGCCCTGTTGCGCGTCGTAAACGACCTTCTGTCGTCTTGTGATGAGGGCCAGGTATCCATTTTGTCTTTACTCGATTTATTGGCAGCTTTCGATACGCTTGGCCAAGGCATAATTCTCCAGCGTCTGCAAAAAACGTTTAGTCTCACCGATACCGTCCTGAGATGGTTTCACTCGTATATGACAAATGGGGTCCAGTCATTTATTTCAAACGGATTGACCTTGAAGCCATCTATAATTGAATTCGGAGTACCCCAGGGCTTGGTCCTAGGCCCGGTGCTTTTCACTATGTACGTTCAGCCACTGGGTGCAGTGATCAAGCAGTTTGACATGCTGCATCACATGTTCGCGGACGATACACAACTTCATCAATCAGTGATCCCCTCTTTGTTCCCTCAACTTCTTAGTATGACACAGAAGACAGTGGTGTCAGGTAAGCACTGGATGACCATAAACAAGCTCAAATTGAATGATGAAAAGACTGAGCTGATCCCCATTGCCACAGCTCAGAAACAAAAATCTGTAAAAAACACAACATCACTTACTCTCTCAGGTATACAGTGCGAGACCTGGGTGTCTACTTAGACAGAACACTAACTATGGAAAATAATATTAACATGCTTTGCAAGGCGATGTTTCTAGAGCTGCGCAGGATTAGTCATATCAGACCTTTCCTAACGTTCGAAGCATCAAAGAGGCTGATGTCTGCATTCGTATTATCACGCATGGACTACTGCAATGCTCTCATGGTGGGTCTTCCAGCTATGCTCCTGGATAAAATTCAAAGAGCACAGAATAATGTGGCTCACATTTTTCTTCACAAACGCAAATTCGACCATGCTAAAACACTTCTGAGAGAGCTGCACTGGCTGCCGGTCCGCGCTCGCATAGTGTACAGAATTGCAACTTTGTGCTACCGCTGCTTACATGACCTGGCGCCGTCCTATCTCAAAGCACTCATGACGCCTTATGTACCCACTAGACAGCTCCGCTCATCCGATAGTGGCAAAATATTGATACCGCGTGTTTGCCTTGAGACTTACGGAAAGCGCACTTTTGCATTTGCTGGCCCAACAATTTGGAACGCCCTTCCTGTCGTTCTCAGAAACAGCCAGACACTGGAGTCCTTTAAAACCGATTTAAAAACACATCTATTTCGCAAACACCTTCTGGGGTGATGCTATCTAACATCTTTTTCCAGTTAATGTTTATTCGCTTGTGTTGCTTATGGTTGAAATGGGGTGAAAGACTTTGACTTGGTATGCTTGTATGTAGTTTTTTTTTTACTGTTGCGTCTGTTTTTAAATGTGGTAAATTTTAGATTGTTTTTATTTCGCTTTTGGGGATGAAGCGTGTTTTTCAAATAAACTTAGTAAATAATAATAATAATAAAGTAAATTAAATTATAGCCCTAGCCTAGGCCTAAGTAGTAGGCATATTCCATTCGTCGTTAGTATTATTATTAACTATTTAAAAAAAAATGTAATTAGAAGATCATATGATTATCATATGCTTGTCAGGGTAAATGAGCAATTAATAGCATGGGGTTTGCCAAGAGTTGTCCCTACTGACATCAATTTGGGGAATCCCAACACTGGACATAGGTTGACTGGACCAATCATTGGACCTGAATGATGAGAATGACAAATTTCCCATTCTTCACTGAGCATTGTTGCTTCAAAAACATAATTTGATGTTAAAATGTATGTTAAAATGAAATAATTAAAATGAAATAATTAAAATGAAATAATTAAAATGAAATAATTAAAATGAAAATTTTCCATTCAACTTTTATTCTTCGTCTTCTGCTATATTTTAAGGGCCCACAATCAATAAAGTGATAATTCTGGCTCCTATGTGTCAGAGGGGTTTGCGGTGTTAATGTGCATGGTTTTCAAGGGGACACTTCACTGGTTGCAAGGTCAAGGGCTACTCAGCAGTGGTATTATGAACCGGGGGTCGGAAGACAGGAGGCAAAGTGTCGAGTGTTGGCGCCTCAACTGTTGCTTTTGGAAGCTTGTTTCAGTCCCTTATTGTCTTTGGCAGGAATGAAGAGCTCCTGTACTGAGTTCTTGTTTTTATTAGCCGGAACTGCAGTGGACCAGCCCATTTTTTAACCTTGTACAACATGGTGAGCCTAGATAGTCGTCGTTGTTCTTTCCATGGTGACCAGCCCAGTGTTTCTAGCATGGTGCCAATACTTGAGGGGTTTCTGTAGGGGTTCAGGACAAAGCGTGCCGCCCGTTGCTGGACCGCCTCCAACATGTCGATGCTTTTCTGGGTAAATGGGTTCCAGACTGTAGATGCATACTCTAAAAGCGGCCAGACAAAGGCTTTATAGGCTTTTTCTTTCACACTTGAGTTGCTGATCTTCAGGTTTGGCCTTAGGAACCCCAGGGTCTTGATTGCCCGGTTGCACACCTTGTTAATGTGCTTATCCCAAGGAACCTCTCTTTGAATTATTAAAATTCAACTTACAAGAGTCAAAAGAAATAGAAATAGCAACATATACTCGCTGATAATGAAGATGAAAATCAGAAAAAAGATGCACTCATGATTGAAAGTGCTATTTTATATTGGTTGAAAACAAAGTGCTCGTTTGCTATGCCTTTCTATAATTTCACAATTTAACGGGACATTTCAATATAATTTCTCGGTAGGGGAAACCACTCCCCCAATTTCAAGAAAAAAATTACAAAATGAGAAGAAAAAACCTATCAAGTAAATACAGAGCTGAATTTTTAAATATTTTGAAAAATATCACTTTGGCTGGTAGTTGACCTGGAGGACTTCCACGAACTATATACCTTGGAAGACATCGCCGGCCCTGCTGCTAACTGCTCTTTAGCCGCTTGGCAGTTGGGCCTCTAGGGTCTGAGTTTTTTTAAAGAAAGGTCTAATTAATTCAATTATTGCAAAGTTTCGTATTAATTTCAATGATCTTGCAATTAGTAAGGTAAACAACAAATTTGTTTTACTTTTAGACATACTGAAATCTGGCCCTAGATTTAGAAACTTCAATTTTATTCTTAATAAAATACAAAAAACTGTTCGCTTACTTAGGTTAGGCCTTAAATTTATGTGTGTCTTTTTCTCTAATTAAGGTTGGACAGAAGTATGAATTACTCTGCTGTGATAAGCACAAAAATGTGGGAAAGCGTATCAAGAAGGATATTTCAACTTGTCGACCAGATATCACCCACCAGTGTTTACTTATGTTGATGGATTCCCCCCTGAATAGGGCAAATCTGTTGCAGGTGTCATTTTTTTAAAATCCTTTTTAAACCATATTTGTATCATTCAAGTACTTAGATGGAGGAGAGTTGATCTATATTTGTATCATTCAAGTACTTAGATGGAGGAGAGTTGATCTATATTTGTATCATTCAAGTACTTAGATGGAGGAGAGTTGATCTATATTTGTATTATTCAAGTACTTAGATGGAGGAGAGTTGATAAGCTGTAGGAAATGGGTCCAAATATTATTCTATACCTTTTTAAATCAGTTTCAAGTTTTCATGTAGATACAATGCAATGTTACAGTTAAAAAATGTCAGATTAGCTGTGAATTATAAGTTTTCTTTGTTTCTTTCTATGTTGATTAATGTATTCAAATATTCTTCTTATTAATTTGACAGGTGTATGTTAGAACAGAAAAAAATGTTTTGATAGAAATCAACCCCCAGACTCGAATACCTCGAACTTTTGATAGATTTTGTGGCTTGATGGGTAAGTTCCATAGGAGTTTCAGAGTTGCTTCATTTTCCTGTCACTCTCCTGTATTTAAATTCTGAATGTAATACCAACAGTTTCTCAAAATATTTTGCTTTGTATGTTTCTGCACAGCACATTTAAAAATACTTTCATGCTGAGAGAAGGGAAGCAATCTATTGGGTTGGGGTTTAAGGGGTTAGTGTTTGAGGAGAGGGGGAGAAGTAAGGCAGGAGAGGACAGGACATGTGGGGGCTGCTTAAGGGGGTAAATAGTTTTAGGAGCAGTTGGGTCTTCTGGGTGGTAATAAGGCTGGTGATTATAATAATAGGATCATTTCTATCAGTTTCTTTCTTTCTTTTCAAGTTCAACTTCTTGACAAGCTCAGCATAAGGGCAAGTGATGGCCCTCAAAAACTTCTGAAGGTACGATTAATATGAAATGTAAATTATTTATAACATTAAAAAAAAAAAGTACGTCTCTCCACAATCTGAAATATATTAACTGCTGAATTATTTTTTTTACTATCACACCATAATATTTTGTAAATTTTACCAGTCTGTTAATATGTTGTGCATCATTTTATGTATAGATCAATGAATACTTATATACTTTTCAAAGAATGGTTAGGACTAAAATACTTTGCTTACATTTATCATGGCTACCAGGTCATCAAGAACCCAATCAATGACCACCTGCCCACTGGTTGTCCCAAATACGCTATGTCTTACAGTGCTAAGGAGATCATCAATGTCAGAGATTATGTCCCAAAGGATGGTCCAGCTGTCTTTGTTATTGGAGCCATGGCTCATGGAAGTGTAAGTCAATCAGTATATAGTTTATATGGGATTGGAAATAGTTGTGAGTGTCAAGTGATTTTAGCAGGATTTCACCAGTAATTTAATTGCTCAATTGTGGGTAAATTGGCCTGTTTGCCAATGCAGATGTAGTCATATATTGTGCACTTAATTCATGTATGGTCATTAATTGTAGGTAATTTATTTTAAGATTTCTCATCAATTCCAATTTGTGAAGTGCTTTTGGGTTCCTGGGTGGAAGTGGACATAATTATTATAATTGTGTCGAGAAAGAGGGAAGCAGATTTTAAGAAGAAATTGGCATCTTTCCATCACTTTAATGGTTGGGGACATGCTGAAATTATGGCTAGCAAAAACAGAGATATGGTGTCATGTTGACACTGATGTGATGTCATGTTGACAATGATATGGTGTCATGCTAACACTGAAGTGAAAAGTAACAAAACCTATGGGAAAGAATACACCATTACAGGGCTTTAGATTTAGAGGCTGGCACATACTTGATTGTTTACATCCAATATTGGGTTACATTTTCAGATATTCATTTGCTGATTATAAATAATCTGATACCTGTGCAAGCCAAATTATGAAGTTTCGTACGTCTCAAGTAATGTCAGTATTGCATTCTGAAGTAGTTAATGAAAAATGTAACATTTTCAGATAAATCCTGATTACACTGAGAAGTCATTTTCTATCAGCAACTATCCACTGTCTGCAGCCATCACATGTTCTAAAGTCTGTAGTGGATTTGAAGAGGTTTGGGGGATTCAGTAACAAATAAATATTTCTGTATATGTGACTCAAGGATCATTTTCTATTTATTTTCACTGTTTTGTTCATTTGTTTATTCTTTTATGTGGACTTTTGGGAAAAAATAGTTTGCTCAAAGTCTTTAATGTAAATATGTCTGTATGAAGTCTAAACTGGGGGGTTGGAAAATTTGAAGGGTTGGTTGGAAAACTTCAAGTATCGGTAAACTCTGTTTTGATGATGGCAGGTTAGAGTTGGGCTCTGAGGGCATGTAAGAATGTCCAGTTGGGCACTGGGAGCCAAATTAAATACTCCAAACTCAAAGTGTCACATATGCTTGATCAATCAGAATTATGTCACAAATTTATATTCTATTTCTATAAAAACAAATATTTAAAACATTAAATACATGCTTCTTCTTCTCCCCCCCCCCCCAATTCCTGCACATGAAGCAAGAAACTTGTGCATTTTTTACATAGACAAAATACATTTGTTTGCATTGCATAATATGCATCTTTGTTCACATTAGTGAGAAGCATGTAACTGGTCCTCTTTGTCACAGATTAGATGATGGTTGTATGAGGTATTGACCGTTGCGTACACCAAGTAGTATTGGTGTTGGTTGATGCAGGGGTTGCTCCTCTCTGTGAAAGTTCAGTGTCTAGACGTTGAGGAAATATAACGATGACACCACAGACTTCAAAGAATGACTAAGAAATTCCTCCTTGACAACTATAAACAAAGAATGTTTTAATAGATCCAATACAGTATAAAAATGTTCCTTTTCAAACCGTTAACATCCATTAGTCTTCAACGCTTCACAACTTCCAAAACATTCAGTAATCTTCAACGCTCCTAAACCTCAAAATATTTTTCTTCCTCTCCCCCCCCCCCCCCCCCCCCCGGAAATCGCCCATCACTCATTCAAAATCCAGCTAACGTGGTGCAACTCATGGGGAAAACCCGAACAAAATAGCATTATTACTAACATGGAAATGCAATGGAGGGCCATTGTTACACCCTGCCCCAGTCATTTGTGACACTCTTCTCACGCCATGACATTACGTTGAGGCTCAAAGTAAGGGGACCCCACCATCAAAATTGCCTTGCGGGTGCTCATCAGTTAAGGCTACCCTGTAACAATATTATATGACACAAATTTCATTCAAAGTTCCTTCTGACACAAGCAGATGCCTCAGTGTTAGAGACTGACTTGAAATCACAAGCTGCAGCCTTTAGATGAGCATATTAATCACATGGTAAGCTACTGATGGAAGTCCGTAATTTTTCCATGCCTTGTGTTTGTGAAATTATCATTAGATTTTTTTACATTGGTCACTTCCATTTGATGCTCAGCTGGCAGTTCAACTGCAACAAAAACTGGGTTTTGGAAGAACTATTTTTGTTGCAATTCCAAAAAAAAACATTCCTGAAACTGCCAATTCTGGTCAGGAATCACTCTTTGCACAAAAATCACAAGGATTCCCCCCACCAAAGCCAAAATTCCCAGCACCCCAGGTGGATGGGACTCGTTAGCCTTGGATGGAAACCCATCTAAGAGAAGGCGAACTCTGAATTCAAACCAGGCGCCAGAATGATCAATAAATAGATCGTGGGCTCTCAAATATAAGAAGAAGAATATTTGCATCTGTTGCTTATTGAGTGCAGCCACTCCTCACTGCGTGTAGTTTTTTTGCCTAAATGTCTTCAACATCGGTATACATGCCAGAAGAGTATCTATGTCTATGTTATATTTTACTACAAGGATTACAATGATCTTTTGCACTGCAAGGGTATCTATGTTATATTTTACTACAAGGATTACAATGATCTTTTGCACTGCAAGGGTATCTATGTTATATTTTACTACAAGGATTACAATAATCTGTTTTACTACAAGGATTACAATAATCTGTTTTAATACAAGGAGTACAATGTTCTATTGTACTAAAAGGATTACAATGTTATGTTGTACTACAAGGATTAAAGAGTTCTACCCTACCATAAGACTAAACACAAACCTTATATTTGAAAAGAGAAAATGTTTTCAATAAACCAGATGGTAATGGAAACATAACCTTACGTTTTTAATTATTGCCATACGCGGCTTTTGTTTCATAAACTTCACTTCAGGCCAATGTATACATTTGTTTCTTTCTTAAATTTTCAATGTTATAATGATTTACTGGGTGTGAAACCTAATGATCTATAATAATCTATAAGCAAAAAATGTGGTAGGAGATTTTTTAACAATTGTGTTTTTTTTTTTGTTTTTTCAAATCCATTTTTTATCCAAAGGTCTTAATTTTTTATAAATAATCATGATAGCAAACAAGTGTCGTGTCTGAATTGAACAGTTCTTTTAGACTGACATCGGTTTTAAACAAATAATATTCTAGTTGACAATCATATATCCATTGCACATCTCAGTTGTACGTATCCATTGTACATCACAGTTGTATGTATCCATTGTGCATCTCAGTGGTACATATCCTTTGCACTAAATGGTAGCACATGGTGTTAAGATTCAGTAATATAGCACACAGTGTTAAGATAAGTAATATAGCACTTTGTGTTACATTTAGTAATGTAGCACTTGTCTTGTAATGTAGCACTTGTGTCATTAATGTAGCACTTGGTGTCAGTAATGTAGCACATATGCTTCCTCCTAGAATTCAGTTGTAAATAACAATCGTTCGATTGGTTCACCCCGTGTTTAATGTATACATATTCTTTAGAGCAGAGCATGGTATTTTAACAATGTCTTTGTCAGGTAATGCGTAATTGTACTTGTGGAACATCGAAGGTGAGACACACAGGCCCATGCCCTTGAACTGGGTCCTCACAACAGATTCCAAGTTCTTTGGCACGGGGTAAGACCGGCCATCCAGTTTAGACTCGGACAGTGGGAAAATGTCTGATTTCTTGTTTAGGAGATTCTGTATGTTGTAGTCTGTCAGCGCCCAGATGTGTGTGTCGTCTTCAGTGAAAAAGAAGAGGTCGACGAAAGGAAACCTGTGCTGTGGAGGTAAAGGATTTCTGGTCAGTTTTTATTTTAATCTTCATCGGTATCTTGGTTAATGATCGTGAGATAACTAAGAAAAATAACATTATTATAGTCGTTGTTAGCTTTACTTAAACATTTCTCTACTTTACAAGTCCAAATGAATGTTGGTGAAAAAAATCTTAATGTAAGAATTATGATTCCTCTAGAAAGGAATATCATAAAGAGTATAAAAAGAAATATCACACATAATATAACAAGAAATATAACACATAACAAGAAATAAAATATATATAACAAGGAATGACATGCGTAATATAACATGAAATATCATACATAATTTCACAAGGAATGACCAGCATATTAATCAAGGAGTCCAGTTCCCATGATCCCATGTAATAACTTTAAAATGGAACTTGCCCTCACAATTTTGGTTTTGTCCTTTTTTTTTTGTGTAAAAAATATTTCTGCGCCTACCTGTGGACTATTTCTTATCCTGATCGCATTCGATGGGAAGAACTTCCAGTGCATGAAGTCTGTTAGTGTCAAAGTGAAGCCATCCACACAACAGAGGCGAGCCTTGATCTCTTTCCATTGGCTGCCATTCAAGGCCACATCGACGTCATCGTCCCACGGAATGATGCCTTGATTTCTGGGTAGGGAGTATTCCTTGTTTTAAGGAAAATAACCTTCAGTGTTATTAATCTGTGGCATTGTCGAAGCCTGGCATAGAGCACATGGCCATGAACCAATGGGGCTCATCTGTGCACAGCTCTGACATATTGGTGCACAACAATGACATAGTGGTGCACAACTGTGACATACTGCTGCAAAAACATGAGATTGGTGCACAACCCTGACATATTGGTGCACAACCCTGACGTGTTGATGCACAACCCTGACATATTGGTGCAAAATCCTGATATTGGTGCACAACCCTGACATTTGGTGCACAATCCTGACATTGGTGCTCAACCCTGACATATTGGTGCACAATCCTAACACTGGTGCACAACCCTGACATATTGGTGCACAATCCTGATATTGGTGCACAACCCTGACATACTGAAAGCACAACCCTGACATATTGGTGCACAACCCTGACATACTGGGAGCACAACCCTGACATATTGGTGCACAGTCCTGACATATTGGTGTACAGCCCTGACATACTCGTGCACAACCCTGACATACTAGAAGCACAACCCTGACATGACATATTGGTGAACAACCCTGACATACTGGGAGCACAACCCTGACATATTGGTGAACAACCCTGACATACTGGGAGCACAACCCTGACATATTGGTGAACAACCCTGACATACTGGGAGCACAACCCTGACATATTGGTGAACAACCCTGACATACTGGGAGCACAACGCTGACATATCACTGCACAGCCCTAACAAAAAGAAAAAAAAACTTGTCTTCCGTCGTTTACTTAATGTCTCCAAAATAATGATTGACCAATAATTTGTTCTTGTTTTATCCTCATTTTCCAGATCAAAGCTTTTTAAGTAAAACAATTAATTTGTTTGGCAAAGTTCAAGGGATGTAATACAATTCAACCACTGATTTAAATTATTTTTACCCATTACCTCTCTTTGGGCGGACAACGACCACCTGCGAGTTATTATTATAAAACACTGTGAATGGACTTATAATTATGAACACAAGAACTTGATATTTACACATATGGTCTGACTCGAAGCAACCATTTATCATAATGGCAATTAAAGTTAATAACGGTTTCAACCCAGCTGACCTTACTATTCCTAACAGTGTACCGTCCACCAGGAAATAGGTCAGACCCGCGTCTTCCAGAACTTCTGACAGGACGTCCAGGGTAAACAAGAGGTCTATCTTCTCATGTCTGTTCAGAAGAGGTAAGAACGGCCATATTTCTTCTTTGTGCATCAGAACATCTGAAGAAAGAACAGACTTATTTGGCGTTTTTTTCTTATTTAATGACAAATTTTGGAAATGGGCTTTATTTTCAGATTTTGGAAATGGGCTTTATTTTCAGATTTTGGAAATGGGCT